TGACTCCCCAGTTTTCCCAGCACCGTTTATTCAAGAGACTGTCCTTTCCCCATTGTGTGTTCTTGCTCCTTTGTGGTAAATTAACTGACCATATATATGTGGGTTTATTTTTGGACTATAGTTTCTTTCACTTATCTGTCTGTTTTTGTGTCAATATATTACTGTTTTGCTTATTATATAAGTTTGTAAAATAGTTTGAAATCAGGGAGTATGATGCCTCCAGTTTCATTCTTCGATTGCAAGACTGCTTTGGCTATTTGGGGTCACCGCAGATGATTTAAGGGAATCCTATATATTGTATACTTTTATCTATAAATTTTTTAGTATATGACTGCAAAAATAGAGATAATCCTAGTCAAGTTATTTATTAAATTTGTTAAACTAGTTTTACTTTCCTAGAATAAATTATACTTGGGTACATTGAGGGCCTTTGTGTCAACAGGCAATGTTGATGTGTTACCCAAAAAAAGAAAACTCCTTATGGTTCCTATTAGGAAATGAGAAAGACCAGACCCCCTGTTTCATCAGGATTTGTTTCAAGTTTTGGCTGGATGCGTGGACTCCCTGCTAAAGTCTGAGAAGCCGAAATTTGCCTATTTAAAAAATACTGTTTTGTGTTCAACAGACTTTTCCATGTTATCTTCTAACATGTATTTGACTTTCTGACTTTTATTCTGTTGAACAATTTAAGTAACAGAATTCCATCTTTTCCTTCACATCTTAGTAGAATTTGTTGATTAAGCAGTCTTGTCTGAGAAGGTGCTTTTGCAAGTGAGGGGGCAAAGATAATATACCTCTCGAATTAGATTGAGTAATTTATATTTTTCTAGGAAATAATTTATCTCTACGTTATTATAGTTGTATGTGCTATTTTCTGTTTTAAGGAAATTTGCTTAGTATTTGTGGTCTTTATATTCCTTTTCTTATTCTCAAGACTGTTTTTCCCCCCTTGTGGGGGCCAGACTTTACAGATGTTTCTGGTTTTTGCTTTCTGAGTTCTTCACTCTTTCTGAGGGTGAGTGTTTATTTTGTTGTTATAGTCAGTCTTCTATATCTGCAGGTTCCACATCTGAATAGGGAGGGCTGACTTCAGGGACTTGAGCATCTGTGGATTTTGGTATATGTGGGGGTGGAGGCATCAAGAAACCAATCCTCTGCAGATGACAAGGGACCACCTTACGTTTTCTGCTTTTTGAACACACTAAATTTATTTTAAATTTTATTATTATTTATAATAATAAACGCATTTAGGGAGATGCTCTCCCAAGCTTTGGCTTATTTTATAGATTTTGATATGTAGTATCCTCTAATAGTTTCTCTTAATATTTGACTTTCAATTTTGATTTCTTTAGCTGAGGAATAATGTTAATCGGTGTCTTGTAAGAAAGAGAACTACATAAGGTCTCAAGTAAAAGGTGATTCAATTATAGGGAATATGTGGTTTTACCGGAATGCCGGGCCAGGAACTGGGGGCTGCTCTGACCCCTGGAAATGGGTAGTGATAGGTATTGGAGAATGTTTCTAAATTTCGCATAGTTTCTCTTATGGGATCAGCTTGGTCATTTCTTTTTATTACACACCTGATGGTTTTTCTTTAGCCATCCCTGCTTATAAATGAAAATGTGGAAAGTTTTAGTGTTGCATTTGGGATAGGCGATGATAATGCGATTTAGCGTCCCCCTCAGTATTCCTCTCTGTTCCGTATTATACATGATAGTAGATGGAGGGTCTACAAAGTTTGTGTTGATCTTTACCGTGACTTCCAACCTACAGAGCTTCCTCAAAATCTGGGCTATTTTTAACCATTTCCAGCTCATGTTTAAGAGTTGAAGAGCAGTCTCTGGAGAATATTTTTACTCATGATGATCACTTGTAACTGTCATGTTTACTTGTTTGATGAGTTGTCTTCTAAATGTAGCACCTTCCAATTTCCTTCATGCCTATACATAATATTCCAGTTATATAATGCCCCAAGTTTCATTTTTTTTGTGACTTTGTGTTAAGTTTGATAAGTAAAGTTGATTTAAAGTCCTTAGTCTTAATTTACATGGGCTTTTCTTTAGAAATCTGGATTATGTATATTTTTTAAATACCAGACACCAACATATTTTTCTGTAGCTCATAGACTTTCCTTAGAGTCAGTTAGCAAGCAGTTATTGAGATATTTCCCTGTGTAGAGCGGCGTTATAGCAATCATAACTGAAAATTAGAGGCAGACTTTGGGAGGCTCAGGATGGATTGGATAAAATCCACTTAAAAAAATTGGAGAACAAGAGCTGAAATTAATTCTTGCTGGTATTCCTAGCAGACTCACTGCACCTGGTGACAGCTGAGTCAAAAAATTAAAATAAGCATGACTTGAGGAAGAAACGAGTTCCAGTGAGGTTTGCCCAGAAATATGTTCATAGATTTTGACTTAGTAAGCTCCTTAGGACTATCTTAATTGTAAATTCTAAGTAAAGGACAATTTTTGTTTTTGTTTGTTCTTAAATAGAAATTGGTGGCCAGAGGAATGAAGTGACTTTCCCAAGTTGTATGAAGTGACTTTCCCAAGTTGTCCTGAGTCTTGATCCTAGGACTTGATGTACATGCAACTACTGATGGCTGCTGTGGAGTTTTCCACGGGACCCCATCGGCTCTCAAAACTCCCAGCTTTGGGAGGGCTGGCAGTGCTTTCTCTTTCAGAGCATTTTGCTCACTGTCCCATCTACTTTTGTTTCCTTTGCCCCTCCCCAAACTAGGGAATTGCTGTCTTGAACAGAATCTTTGGATTCCATACTTATAGTTCTAAAGAGTTTTTATATCTTTCTTCCCTTTTGTTTGTGTATTTACAATAGCTGATAGAGCTATTTGCATTAACATTCTTTGCCAGATGAATTTATCATTGGCAATAAGTGAAATGAGACCTCCCAGAAATACCTTTTTTGGAGCCAAGCTTAGAGTGACTTTGTGTTGCTTCTGTCATTTTTGTAAGACAGGTTTTCTTGAAATGAAGAATATCTGAAAATAATTGGAACAAGGAAAGCAAAGTAGTGAATTTCAAGTTAGTTTGATTTCTTTAGAAGGAATCCTAGATACCTTGTTTCTGTATGACTGCCCTTGGTGGTGGTAGTGTCTTCCATGACTTAATGTTTCTTATATACACTGTAATATGAGCAAACTTCAGTTGAAAAGTTTATTAGGATTGAGGACTTTTGGGAGGATGCATTGCATTTCTTGCTTGAGAAGACACTTCTGAAAAGCTATCGGAGTCCTTGTTATGTAACCTTGAGTAAACTGTTGCAGGTGTGTCATGAGATAGGCCAAGAATTTTCTTGTTTTCCATCTTTTTTTAAATCTTGTCCATAACATAGGGGAAAGATAAAATCATCTTTAACACATGGAGGAAATGAGATGAGTTAAATTGTAATGACTATAGTATTATGATATATGTTGCTATGTGAGAATGATTTAGAGCTACACAATCCCGTGTAGTAGCTACCAGCCAAGTGTGGCTCTTAAGCACTTGAAATGTTGTTAGTCCAAAATGAGTTGTGCTCTGAGTATAAAATACACACCAGATATTGCAGAGTTAGTGTGGGAAAAAAATCTCATTGACACTTTTTAAAAATCTGATTTTTAAGAATCCTAAATATTGATTACATGTTATCAAAATTGAATTATTTTATTTTAATGTGACTACTAGAAAACTTAGAATTATGTATGTGGTTCCTACTTTTGTTAGACTGCTGATCAAGTATTTAAAGAAGGGTTGCTAGGATTACAACTTAATAATTTCTTTTACCTGTAAAATGCGAAATATAGAGACATACAAAGTAGAATTATAAGTTTGCTACAGCTTTTATATGCAGCTATAGTTGATATATTTAAATTTGTTTGCAGTTCAAAAAACTAGCAAACTATTCCTGACAACTATTTAAAAGTCAAGAAGAGTTTTAAACAATTGCTTCTGGGCTATCAGTGAAACTCAAAAGTACAAACAGAGGAATTATGTGTTACGAATCATTGCCAGCACTAGGTATTGCGCCTGCGCATACCTGCCAGGCTGAGGAGTCCCTGGTAGCTGTGGAGTGTGTTGTACTGAGCAGAGGCAGGGGTAGTTTTCCTTAGGGTCGATTTCTAAAAGGGCATTTGTCAGCTCTTCTTTCTGGCTAGATGGTGCACGTGTGTACAAGTAAATCTGACCCTCACATGGGTTACTTGTGTGTTCAGGATTGACTGAAAATCACTAAGTAGGTGGATTTATGAAGCAGTGAGTGGCTAAAAGTATATACTAAGCTTTCTTGAATAAGTAAATGGTAAGATCTGAAGCAGGAACTGCCTGTTACTTCCATTTTGCACTCAAGAACAAATCAATAGAGAGTGACTTGAAGGAATCTTGTCCTTTGAGATTTGTGACGACTCATTTCATTGCTCTTTAAAGGTCTTTTCCTCATTGGACACTTAGCTGAGAACTTCAGTTGTTCTAGAAGTTTGACTGCTAAATAAGGTGTATAGATTTTCAGCTTTAATTTTATCAAGTACTATTTTCCTACATTGTTCCTTCCTATTTGAGTTGGTAAAAATTCATTGGATTTTGGATCACAAATTCATCTTGATTTTTTTAGATTTAATGCTTAGCATCAGAAATTATGCATATAGTATAAAAATCTAATTGGTCAGTTGATAATGTACATTTGTAGGGCTTAGTTTTAACAGAACATTTTCATTGGTTATAAATTTCATAGTCATAAAGCATATACATAGTGTTTTCACTTGAGCATAAAAGAAACCAACAGACTACCAAAATTGAGTACATCAAAAGATTATTAATATCACAACTTGAATGTTAATTGGTGGGTTGGGGTTAGCAGCATAAACAGGGACAATTCTAACTATATATGGAAATACTGGTTACTAGCACATGCCAGTTGAATGCTGAAAAATAAGATTTTATAGTATACTTTAAATACAGTTTTTATATACTTATAGGTGACTTTACTTTTTTTTTCTCTTCTTAGAATATGGTTTCTAGTTTTAGGGTTTCTGAACTACAAGTGTTACTGGGCTTTGCTGGACGGAATAAAAGTGGACGTAAGCATGACCTCCTGATGAGGGCGTTGCATTTACTGAAGAGCGGCTGCAGCCCTGCGGTTCAGATTAAAATCCGAGAATTGTATAGACGCCGATACCCACGGACTCTTGAAGGACTTACTGATTTATCCACAATCAAATCGTCGGTTTTCAGTTTGGATGGTAGCTCATCACCTGTAGAACCTGACTTGCCTGTGGCTGGAATCCACACGTTGCCTTCCACTTCAGTTACACCTCACTCACCGTCCTCTCCTGTAGGTTCTGTGTTGCTTCAAGATACTAAACCCACGTTTGAGATGCAGCAGCCATCTCCCCCAATTCCTCCTGTCCATCCTGATGTGCAGTTAAAAAACTTGCCCTTTTATGATGTTCTTGATGTTCTCATCAAGCCCACCAGTTTAGGTAAGTGTTAGACAAATCCATTTCTTCTGGACAATGAGTAAAGCAAGAGGCCTTCAACTAGGAATGATTTGTTGCTCAGGAAATTTAATAAATCTTATTATATTACTTAAAGTTGATACATGTGTCTTTAACACCTTTTTACCTAGGTTTATGACTTCTGTGTGTAACTGCATAATTTCTTACTGCCTAATGAAATTATATACAGAGGTGTTTGGATTTATTGATGAAATAAATTGTTTGAAAAGTGGTATTTCATAGTTAATCTGGGAGATTATTTTCTTTTCCATCCTTTGTGTAGCATTATACTGCAGTACATCTTGGTTGTGCCATAAGGAAATTTCAAGGGGGAGAGCTGGTTAATGGGGGTCAGTATGGCCTGGTTGGTTGGCAGGCCAAGGAGGCTTCCTTTTCCAGGCCCTTTCTCCTTGCTTTGTTTTTCTTTAACAGTACCGAGATAGGCAGATAGAGCAATGCATTATATCTCTTCATTACATTCATTCTGAAATAAGAATTCTTTGTTTATTCACATTTTATTATTCGTGTAAAGTCCTGTGAATAGAATTATTGCATCAAAGAGTAAGAACACTTTACTCTTGATAATGTATCAATTGCCAAATTAGTTTCCAGAAAAGCTATGCTAGTTTAAATTACACAAAGTGAAGAATGTTTCTCAATGCACTTTATGTCCTTCCTCTATTAAGTGTTATTAAAAACAAATCTTTATGATTTCGATGGATAAAGAAGAGTCATGTCTTTTTTAGATTTATTATTTCCAAAATTAGTGGGAGCAAACACTTTAAATGTTTATTACTCAGTTGCCTTTTAAAAAAGATCTTATTTTTGCCCTGGCTGGTGTAGCTCAGTGGATTGAGCATGGGCCTGTGAACCAAAGGATCACAGTTCGATTCCCAGTCAGAGCACATCCCTGGGTTGCAGGCCAGTTCCGGCAGGGGACATATGAGAGGCAATCATACATTGATATTTCTCTCCCTCTCTCCTTCTCTTCCCCTCTAAAGATAAATAAATCTTTAAATTTATTTTCACCTTTAACCTCTTTTTTATACAGCTTCATTTATTTAGTTAAAATGTTTCTACAATTAATTTTATTTTTCCCTTTGCCATGGTTTTTACCAGTGTACAATATTATGGCTTATTATACACATGTTTCTTAGCAATTAATTGCAAATTTCTTTCTTTTTTCTTTAAGATTTTCTTTATGTTTAGAGTGAGGGGCAGGGATGAAGAGAGGGAGAGACACATTGATGTGTGGGAGACATCCGTCAGTTGCCTCTCCCACGCCCACATCTGGGGACCTGGCCCACAACCAAGGCATGTGCCCTGACAGGGAACTGAACCGGCGACCTTTCAGTTCACAGCTGGCACTCAATTCACTGAGCCACACCAGCCAGGTGGCAGATTTATTTTGTGTGTATTTTGAGAAAGATTCAGACTAGTGACATGCTTGGCTGGTCCTGCCTCTTGGGACTCCTCTGGAGTACGGTCAAGGTGAGGACCGAGAAGACCAGGGCCTGTGGGGTCTGGCTGCGGTGGAAGCTGTTTCAGAAGCAGGGTCGGTGCCTGGGGCACCAGGTGTCAACTCGGAGGTTTCCTGCTTTTCTTTCCTTACTTTCCTGCTCTGTTCAGAAATAGAAATATTCTTGCTTTTCTGTATTGATGATTCTTCATAGAGTTTCTCTTTCATTAACTTCAATAAAATTTTAAAAAAATAGTAGGTTTTTTGTAAGTTTTTAAAGTAAAACTTTTGTATCTCATTTAGCTTACATAAAATAATGCCAGACATATATATAACCTCAGGCCTTACGATTATCCCTGAGCTAAAAACTGTATTTTCCAGGAGTCTTGCCTTATCATTGTTTTTATAAACATTACAAACTGATTCTTGTTTAAAACAAGGCTTAAACATTTCATTATTCTGTCTTCTACACTAATGAGAAAATCAGCATAGGTCCCATATAGTCTGCCAAGTAAAAGTTGAAAAAATTTAATACTTTCCAGTAAAGACCTTTAGTTGAAATTTTTTTAGTGTCACATGCCTAAGGCAATATAATATGACATGGTTTTATGATGTTGAAAATATTTATAAAAAAATTCTGGGAGCTCTGACTGGTGTGTCTTGGTTTGGGTGTCGTCCTGCAGAGCGAAAGGTCGTGGGTTCGATTCCTGGTCAAGGCACATGCCTGGGTTGCAGGTTCGGTCCTCTGTCGACATGCATACAAGAGGCAACTAAATTGATGTGTCTTTTCCTCTTTTTCTCTCTCCCTTCCCCTCCTCTATAAATAAATAAAATGTCTTTTTAATTCTGGGAATTTTTATTTACTTGGATACTGCTCTGAAGAAACCTGTTTACATTTGGGAGCTGAGAAATAACGATCTTCAGGAGTCATAAGACATATCAAATCCAAATTTCAAAGGATGTATTTTTGACAATTGCAAGCCAGTTTTTTATTTTATATGCAGTTGATTAAATGATTTTTAAGCCATCAACATACTGTTGAGTAGGAACTGACAAAATGGGAGAGACTGGAAGAGCCATGGTAGAAAAAACAAAGAGGTAAAAAGTGTCATTCCTGAATATCTTAAGATATTGAAACCAAAAGCCCTGTGGTAGTGAAAGAATTGCCGTTACAGCATCACGACATGTGTACTGATGCCAACCCTTCCCCTAGACCCCCCCCCAAAAGGAGAAAAAACCCAACCATGGTGAGTGTGCAGTTTAAGAAGACACATTACTATATATTTTGCAGTTTGGAATTATTTTTATTCAAAATGATTGAAATACAAATATTTTAGCATTTAAAATGACAGACCAGCCCTGGCTAGTATGGCTCAGTGGATTGGATGCCAACCTGTGAACCAAAGAGTCGCCAGTTCATTCAGTCGGGGCACATGCCTGGGCTGTGTGCCCCAGGCCAGGTCCCCATGTGGGAGTGTGTGAGAGGCAGCCACACATTGATGTTTCTCTCTCACTCTTTCTCCCTCCCTCTAAAAATTAATATATAAAATCTTTTAAAAAATTAAAATGTCAGACTGGCATCTAGAAAACCTGAGTATACACAACACTAAATGAAGTTCTCAATACCTATGATTATACTGTAACAAATGGAGAATCCCTAATCTAAAAAAAAAAAACTAACCCAAATCTCTTTTCTCTTAAATAGCTGTTCTGATGTGCTTTCATAGGCAGTCTTTCTCTTAATTTTCTTTTTTCTAAAATATATTTTACTGATAATGCTGTTACAGTTGTCCCATTCCTCCCCCCCCCTTTATTCCCTCTGCCCTGCACACCCCCTCCCACCCACATTCCCCCCTTTGGTTCATGTCCATGGGTCATACATATAAATTCTTTTTGGCATATACATTTCCTGTACTACTCTTAACCTCCTCCTCCGTCTATTTTCTACTTATCATTTATGCTACTTATTCTCTGTACCTTCACCCCTCCCACACCCCTGTTGATAACCTTCCATGTGACCTCCGTTTCTGTGATTATGTTCCTGTTCTAGATGTTTGCTTAGTTTGTTTTAGTTTAGGTTCAGTTGTTAATAGCTGTGAGTTTGTTGTCATTCTGCTGTTCATATTTTTTATCTTAATTTTCTTAGATAAGTCCCTTTAACATTTCATATAATAAGGGCTGGGTGATGATGAACTCCTTTAACTTTACCTTAACTTTAACTTGCTGGGTCCTCCAGCTGCTGCCTTGCTTGCTGGGAGTCTCCTTCGCCCCTCCTGCCTGTCTCCACCCCTCCTGCCCCTCCTACCGGTCTGGAGGAATGTTTCTTCTTTAACTCCTTGGTTGTGGGACTTCCATACAGTTCGATTTTCTCTCAATTCTGGTGGTTTTTGTTTTTAAATTTGTTTTTGTTCTTTTGATAGTGCAAGGAGGCACAATGTGTCTACTTACGCCTCCATCTTGGCCAGAAGAAAATCTTATGTTTTAAGTGAATGTCCAATTTTGTGTTGGGCTTCATTCACAGCCATCCTAGGCTAGACAAACCTTTACGGGGACTAAGTGTTTTTTTTTTTTTTTTTGCAGGAGTCCCAGGTGGTTGTTAAGCTCAGGCAAGCTGGGTAGATAATCTTGTGTCTTCATCCTTTTTTCTCCTGCCTTTCAGTTCCATGACTTTTGCTTTAAAGTTACAAAGTTATGTTTTTAAGGAAATTATAAGAAGAAGAAAAACAGCATATTTTACCTTTACCACTTATCATTAGTGATGGTTTTCATTCCTGAAAACTTCATTTTGAATTTGGTTTAATTTTTTAAATTATGATAATTTCCTTTTACGTTTCTTGCAGTGTATGTCTGTTTTCAACAAATTGTCTTGACTTTTGTTTATGTAAAAGTCCTTATTTTTACCCTGTTTTTGAAAGGTATTGAATTTTTAGTTGACAGTTTCTTAAACCGTGAAGGTGATTTCTTGCCTACATTGTTTCTGATGAGTGTTCAGCCTTTATTTGTATTGTTCTCTTGTATGAATGGTTTGGTTTTTCTCTAAGTGCTTTCAGGATTTTATAGTCATCATTGGTTTTCAGTAGTTTGGTTTTGATGTGACTAGTTTTCTTTGTATTTATTTTGCTTGCAGTTTGATCTGTAAGGCTTTGGTCTCTCTCCCATCAAAATTGTAGGATAGTCTTCCATTATTTCTCTAAGTTTTTAAAGCTTTTACTTATTTTAAAATTTTATGCCCCATTTTCTCGTTCTGGAATTCCATTTGTACCTGTGTCAGACTGTGGTTTCTGGCTGGAGAAACTGGGTGCTCCTACCATTAAGTAAGATTGAAAATGTAGTATGTTTACATAAATCTCCAAATATAGTTTATTAAATTTGACAGTAAAGAAGTCATTGGTGATAGAAAATAGAAAGTGGAATGTGCACAAGAAAGAATTGAGGGGTACATAGGAATCGAAGAAGTCGAGGGACACTGCTGCAGTTCTGTGCTTGTGTTTCATGCCCCGTGGCCGTGTGTCTGACTTAGAGTTTTGTTTCATTTTTAGGCCTTCATCATAAACAACCTCCCTGTCTTAGCTCCGTTTTTATGTGTTATGGGAGGACATAAGGCACTTTGTAACATGATTTCTAGGCGCATAATTGAACAATAAATTACCTGTGGTTGTTACAAATGGTACTAATACCCTTGGATTTGTTACCTTAATATTATCTTTTTCCCCCTTTCCAGTTCAAAGCAGTATTCAACGATTTCAAGAGAAGTTTTTTATTTTTGCTCTGACTCCTCAACAAGTTAGAGAGATATGCATATCCAGGTAAGAGGAATGTTTGGAATATACTTCTCCGTGAGTATTGGTGTGTTAGTCTGCTAAGGCTGCCATAACAAAGGACCACAAGCCGGGTGGCCTAAAGAGCAGCAGTTTATTTTCTCACACTTTTGGAGGCTTGAAGACTAAGGTTAAGACGTTGGCAGATTTGCTTTCTCCTGAAGTCTCTCTCACTCTTGGGGGATCATCTGGTTAGAGTGTCATCCCGATATACCATGGTTGCAGGTTTGATTCCTAGTCAGGGCACGTACAAGAATCAACCGATGAATGCATCAGTAAGTGGAATAACAAATTGATGTTTCTCTTTCCCCTTTCTTCTTCTTTCTCTAAACTCAATTTTAAAAAATTGTACAATGATTAGTCCAAAAAGTCCAGTATTGAAATAATATGGGGTTCAGAAAAAAGGAGAAAACTGAGAGGAGGAAACTACCAAAAAAGTAAAATGAATGTAGGTTCATGTCGTTCATGTTCATCGGGGGGCAAGGTATTGAGTTTTTGTAAACTGGAAGTACTTTCAGTCTTGGGGATAAAAATAAGCTAGCTAACAAACAAGTAACTAAAATAACTTAAATAGCATAATGTATGTCCAAAACCATATCATTAACCTAAGTTTTGTTATTCGGGGATTAATGCAGACTCGGCCCACCAGAGTCTGTGTGTTGTGGGTGAGGTGAACAAATTCACGTGGACTGCCGAGTCCTGTGGAGAAAAAGGGACAGCATGGCCGTCTCTCAAAGGGGGAGCACCTTGACCCTTGACTGGACAGGCTGTTATTGCTTCCAGTCACATTACATCAAAGAAGGTTCTCATTATTTCTAGATTTAGTTAAGTGTTTACTTCCTACAGATAATAAAAAAAAATAAAGGTGCAAGTGCAAAGGGAATGATAAAAATGATTTGGTTACATTTTGTCCTTGGGACATATTAGCACAGACTTTAGGGAGTTTCTTCAGAGATTCACATTAAATATCTGCAGTCTTAACTCAGGGTGAGGGGGTTTTAGCAAAAGCAAATCTCATAGCAGCCTAGGTACAATGCAGGCCTGATTCCCCATGGGAAAGCCGATCTGCACACCTGGCTCCTGTGTGCCGCCTTGCATTGATTGGTTTTCTGGATCATTGCTGGGCTACATTTGTTACTGCCTTGCTGATCAGTTCCCTACAGGGGATAATCCCTTGCTTGAAATCAGCATTTATTGTTTTATTAGGTACAAAGAACTATATTATGTGATATGACCCCTTTCTACAAGTTGCTTATAGTCTTGTTAGTAAGTGAACCAGCTTATGTATATAAAATGATCATTGGCATTGTGAGGTGTCCTATGAAAATAGCCAATTCAGTGAGGACCAGTGAGTGCTGATTTACAGGAGGAGATTACGTTTAACTGGGGGTCTGGGAAAACTTTATTAGAATGTTGGGTGGGCCTTTGAAGGAAGGAGATTATACTAAGTAGATTTAAAGATACAGATTTCAAGGTACATTTTTAAACCATTTTTTTTTAAGTTTAAACTTTGTGGATGTATTAACTAATCAAGAAATGGATGACTAAAATTTAAATAATTAATTTCATGTTACACTTTTAATCATGTTCTGGAGGTGGATGGTATTGATGATTTCACCGTAATGGGAATGTATTTAATGCTCCAGACCATACACTTAAAAATGATTAACATGATAACATTTTTAATGTATATTTAAACACCAAAATTTTTTTTTAGGTAATGATAAAAGTAAGGCTATTTGCAATTCTCCCTCCAAAGAAAACAAAATAAAACACACATCCGCATGTATATATAAACCCCAGCCTTTTCAGAGTTCTGATCAAATAGAAAAACATCATCTTTCTAAGTAGAAGTAAAAGTTTGGTACCCATTACTTTGCTTTCAATAATTATGAACATTTTGGTACTCTCTATGTGACCTCCTCTCCACATTTTTTCTTGCAGTATTTTAAAGCAAATCACAGACATCATATAATTGTACCCAGAAATACCTTAAAACGCATCACTGATTGTTAACCCAATCACACTAAAAATTAATAATTTTTTAATATAAAACAGTGTCTAGCCTATATTCAAATTTTCTGAGTTGTTTCAGTATTTAAACATGGCTGTGCATTACTGTGGACTTTCAAGATTTTTTTGCCAATCTGACCAAAAAAAAAAAAGTAGGTATAATTTTGATTGATTTACCAAAAAAAAAAAAGAAATTACCTACCTTTTCTGCTCCAGAGTGACTTATTAAAACATCAGGGGCCTGTACTTGTATATAAGGGTTTCTTGCACCAAGAATTAACCAATCAGATGCAACCTCATTATGCAACACGATTAATAAGATGCAACTTGATTGTATGACCTATATATTTATGGTTCAAGATGGCAATTCACCATGGATGGCTATTGTTGTGGCTATTGTCATTTTTAATTTGACAATCTAAGGGAAAAGAGGTTGGTGCCCCTGACTGAATCGTCAGTGTTAGCATGTATTAGAAATTCACCAGTAGTGATGGAAAGAAAACTGGAACTCAAATCAAGGGAGTGGACCAGAAGGAAGGAAAAAATGACCAAACAGAAAAGAAGAAACAAGAATTCCAAAAAATGAGGAGAGGCTTAGGAACCTCCAGGACATCTTTAAACTTTCCAACATCCGAATTATAGGGGTACCAGAAGGAGAAGAGGAAGAGCAACAAGTGGAAAACTTATTCAAACAAATAATAAAGGAGAACTTCCCCAATCTGGCGAAGGAAATAGACTTCCAGGAAGTCCAGGAAGCTCAAGAGAGTCCCAAAGAAGGTATACCCAAGGAGGAACACACCAAGGCACATCATAATTACATTAGCCAAGATTAAAATGAAGGAGAGAATCCTAGAAGCAGCAAGAGATAAGGGTTCAGTCACCTACAAAGGAGCTCCCATCAGACTGTCAGCTGATTTCTCAAAAGAGACCTTACAGGCAAGAAGGGGCTGGAAAGAAGTATTCCAAGTCATGAAATCCAAAGACCTACATCCAAGATTGCTTTATCCAGCAAAGCTTTCATTTAGAATGGAAGGGCAGATAAAGTGTTTCTCAGATAAGATCAAATTCAAGGAGTTCATCATCGCCAAGCCCTTATTATATAAAATGTTAAAGGGACTTAACTAAGAAAAAGAAGTTAAAGAAACATGAACAGTGAAAGGACAGCAAGCAAACTCACAGTTGTTAACAACCACACCTAAAACAAGCAAACTAAGAGGACAGCTAGATCAGGAGCAGAACCATAGAAATGAAGATCACATGCAGGGTTAGCAACAGGGGAGTGAGAAGAGGAGAAGGGGGAGAAGGTACGGAGAATAAGTAGCATAGACGGTAGGTAGAAGATAGATGGGGAGGGCAAGAATGGTATGGGAAATATAGAATCTAAAGAACTTGAGACATAGACATAAGCTAAAAGGGGGGAAATGGTGGGGGAGGGGTGTGCAGGGTGGAGGGGAATGAAGGGGAAAATAGGACAACTATAATGGCATAATCAAAATATATTTTTAAAAAATTCTTGTGGCACCCAGTTGAAAATTGCTGATGTAGAGATACTGAGATTCTAGGCACCAGTTCTTATGTTGGATCCACATAAGACTCACCTGAGTAGCTGTAAAAACTACTAATATTCAGACTACTCCAGACCAATAGGAATATCTGGTGAGTGGGCCTTTATATTTAAGAAAATCAGCAAGTGATTGGAATTCTTAGCCAAGGTTGAGAACCACTATAAGCAAACAAGTTAATTTATTAATCTCTTTTAGAACCTAGGGGACTCCTTTTCATGTTAACCAATTCTGTAGTGTATTGAGATACATAATGCATTGCAAAAGTTTCTGTGAAGTGAAAATACCCTAAAATTACCATAAAGACATGATTAAGTGTTAAGTAAATGAGGGTTATCATCACCTCAGTGTCTCGATTAAGGCTTGTGCTATTGGTATGCTAGTGTTAATCTTTTAAGAATAAGAATTAAAAAATGAAGGTTGGTTTTTTTGTTGTTGTGAGGTGTTGGGGGTTTTTTTCTGTTTGTTTTGGTTTTTGGCAGTCGTGTTCCTGTGAATTCTCATTGTACTTTCTTGACCTGATTTCTTTCTCTTTTCAACAGGGATTTTTTGCCAGGTGGTAGGAGAGATTATACAGTTCAAGTTCAGCTGAGGTGAGTTGGAAATTTTCTGTTGCTTTAATAACACTTGCTAATAACTCTGTGCATATAGTCAGGAATTTGTAAATACATAAACATGTTTGAGTATACTATTTAAGAATGCTTTCTTTTTTCTTCTTTAATGCAGACTTTGCTTGGCAGAGACCAGTTGCCCTCAAGAGGATAACTATCCCAATAGTCTGTGTATAAAAGTAAATGGGAAGCTCTTTCCTTTGCCTGTAAGTTGCTTTTTATTCACCAGGAGGTGGGGTAGGTAAAGACTGATTGTGAGTAAATGAATTATTGGTTAGATGATGGGTATATGGGAGCTCATTACACTTTTCTCTCTTTTTGTATATGTTTGAAATTTTCAATAGTAAAAAGATAAAACATCTTTGAGGGAGTTGGGAAATTGGAATGTAAACTTATAAATTAGAAAATTTTAAAAATTGTTAATTTTGTGAAGTTGTGATATTTTTTAAAGGTCTTAATAAAGAAGCTATAAAGGTATCTCTGAGTCAAATGGCATATCTAGAATTTGCATTTAAATATCCAGGGGCAAAGCCAAAAGTGTATATGTGTGAGGTGTGTATTTTGGTGTGAGCTGATAGTGGGGCCAGAAGTGACCAAAGCACAGTTAGTAACATGTTAATTATTGAAGCTAGGTGGTGAGTACTTAATGTTCTCTCTACTTTTGTATATGAAAATTTTTAATAATACAAAGCAAAGTAAATCCATGTTGATATTAAAGTAGTAGTATTAAAGTATTAAAAGTAATATTAGAGTAATAGTAACTTTTGTGAGAAGTACAAGTAAGGTACTTCTGGGTTTTGGATGTGAGGGTGGGTACTTTTCTGAACTTGTGAAATCTTTGACACCTTTTTCAAAAAGTAATTTTCCTCTTTTGGATTGATGACCTTTGGATGAGACTCTGTGATTTCCAGTACAAAATAAAAATAATCAGTGTAACTGAAATCAGACAAGATCCTGTATCTGTTTTGGAGGAAATATTTAATTGCCTACAGAGAATTAAATTTAATTTCTTTCCTATGATTGTAGGGCTACGCACCACCACCTAAAAACGGGATTGAACAGAAGCGCCCCGGGCGCCCTTTGAATATTACGTCTTTAGTCAGGTTATCTTCAGCTGTGCCAAATCAGATTTCCATTTCCTGGGCATCAGAAATCGGAAAGGTAAAGATTCTGTCCTCTGGGCAGCATGAAAGTAAGCCCCCTAGTAGTTGATTTATTTTTGTTTTTTTCTTAGGCTACTAGCTCCAGCTTGTTTCGTTTTCTGACTGTAATTTCTAAAAAGTAGTAATTTCCAATTCAGGGGTGGGGGTGTGGAGATTCTTAAGGTTAAAAACTTGAAGGTTTCCTGAGTATCATCTCTGGACTTCCCTGGAAAATAAGTATAATTACAATATTTCTTAAGGTAATGAGTGATTTAATCATAATTGTGTTTAAATAGCATGTTAAAAAACTGGAAACTTGGGACAATGTTATGTATTTATGAATAGGAAAAAAGAAGCTTTATTTAGCTTTGGGGAAAATAGTTAAATCATGTTGTGATGAGAAGTAATCTGTTCCAGTATTTATATAAATAGTTGATACCGTAGATAACATGTGGGCATCTCATGAAAGCATTTACTTAGAATTGTATCATTTCCTCTAACCTTTTGGTTGATGAACTGGTTTTCTGCTGATTCTTAGTCTTAAAGTGCATTATCTCAGGTATGAGGTACTGATTAGTACAACAGGGGATTTTCATATTAGAATGTTCATTTGCTGGGTGGGGGAGAGTTATAAGGGTATTAAATGGCAATAGAAAAAATACAATAAAGATTATATAAGAAACAACAACAACAAAAAAGAACTACTTGTTTATATAACTAAAGTAATAGAATGACAAAAAATTCAGTTAATTTCTGAACATAAACTTTAGTGTTGCTATTTTATAAGAGAAAAAAAGATACTATTTTCCATTTCATGGATAGAGAAGTTGAGTCATAATGTTTGTAGCAAGAATTTTTTTTTATAACCAAGGTAATTACAGAGCTTAGACATAAGGAATAGTATTTTTGTATTAGTTTTTGGATTGTAAAGATACTATTATCTCTTTAGTGATCTTTTGAGTTCTTATTTCCGAATTTTTACTGCAACTTACTGTCACAGGGCACTGATTTCTAATGTTTTTCATTTTCATGAACTGAATGTGCAGTGAGTGGCAAAGGATTCAGAAAATCTTGGTTTAGTGCCAAGTTGGTCATTGTTTGATTTTGGCAAAGTTGCTTATATCCATGAGGCCTACTTAGTATAAAGAATGAGTAAAATCTTGAGAATGGGTTTTGTATACAAATGTAAGGGACATTAAAAAATGAGTAGGGATTCATGCTTTAAAGCTTAGTGAGAGGAATTTGAATAGAACAATATATTTTTTTGAAATGACTATTAAGTTTCTGATTTTTGAGTAAATAATTGTAGACATTGAAAATGTGGTAGCTTTTTTTTTCTTTGCCACGTAATGGGAATAGTATTTTTCCTTGTAATTAAAATAATTAACTTAAATTTATACACTGATTTGCATATTCAGATATTAAAAAACTGTTTCAGGACATTTAAAATAATATTTAAAATCATTGGTGTGGCAACTACTTAAAAGTATTTTATTGTAGAATTAAACATTTTTGTTTTACTTATTTATTTTTTTCTTAGAGAGAGGGGAAGGGAAGGAGAAAGAGTGGGAGAGAAACATCAATGTGTGGTTGCCTCTCATGTGTCCCCCACTGGGGACCTGGCCTGCAACCCAGGCATGTGCCCTGACTGGGAATCGAACCAGCAACCCTTTGCTTCACAGGCCCATGCTCAATCCACTGAGCTACACCAGTCAGGGCAACATTTTTGTTTTAATTTACTGATTTTAGCGAGAGGGCAGAAGGGGTGGGGAGGGAGAGAAAGACATCAGCTTGTTATTCCACTTTTTTATACGTTCATTGGTTGATTCTTGTATATGTCCTTACCTGCAACCTTAATGTATATAGATGATGCTCTAACCAACTGGGCTTACCTGGCCAGGACCTGCTTATTATAGAATTGATTGAACTTAAATATTTAATGAAATGGTAAGATTTTAGCATTTTGATATAAAATTATATTTCACCTCTTTGTAGCTCTATAAATAGCTAATGAAGGTTGTTCCTTTGTGCCAGATCTAAGAGGTTTGGGACTGGATACTTGTGTTCCAGCCTTGTCTTTTTTATTCATTTTTTTATCATTTCTTCGTGTGTCTTACATACTGCAGTAGTTGCCGCTTTCCTAGTGAAATGTCCATTACAAAACAGGAGTTAATTTGTCAGAGTTTCTCTCAAAAGAAATTTGATTTGGGGTTTATTTAAGTTGATTGCTCAAGGTCGTGAAGCAAGTGGTCTCTTGTGCCAGAATCAGAACTCTGGGTTTTAAGTGTTAATTCAGACCACTGATGTTGAACTCCCTGTAGTGGAGCCTGTTTTTCAATGAAAATATTGTGAAAGCTCATTACATAAAAACAACGGTTTACTCAGAAGTTGGCATGGAAGGGTAGGTACATCCTCATTCATACCACAATGGTCCCTAGGGTACCAGTTTTGCTAAATTAGAAACCGCCTGAAAGCTACTGATCTAAGCTACGTTATCTTTCACATGGACGTTTTAAAGTAATAAGTGAGTGAGAAATACCTGTAATATGATTGAGCCATCTTTCCTAAAGGAACTGAGTTGATTTTGTTCCCTTGGCAGTCGTTGACCTTCCTGTGGAACTTATTTTGAATGTTATTTTTAGAAACCAGAGGTTCTTAAACAAGTATTTTATGTAAATAGACTATTATCTCTCGTCTTTAATACAGATTATCTTTCTTTGTAGAATTACTCCATGTCTGTATATCTTGTACGACAGCTCACATCAGCCATGTTATTACAGAGATTAAAAATGAAAGGTATTAGAAACCCTGATCATTCCAGAGCACTAAGTAAGTAATGTTTGTAAGACTGAGCATATGAGATGCTTTAATTAAAAAAAAAGCCTCACATATATATCAATATAGGAATAATTTAGGGATAATTACTAGAAACCTAAAATGAATATTGAATTAAATTCTCTTAAAAACACAGCCCTATATATTGGAAAAACCCTTCCCTTAGAAACTACTCCCAAGAGGATCAATTTCAGGTCCCAGCAAGTCTCATTTGGGGCCTTCTCATGAAAACTTACTTAAACACCAGGTTTATGGTAGTTTTGAGTATTGATGTACACATTGGCTTGCGAATAGGAATGCAAGTTTTCAAAACCTCCAATGTTTAATAGAATGTACATTTAAAAACATTCTAAACAATAAAAAGCTTTTTTTTTTTTTTTTTGGTAAAGAAAAGTTGATGTCCACCAATAATATTTGCCTTCTGAGATGTTTTATTTTGTTCTTAATTTTATCATGTACAATAATAGGTAAAGAAAAAAGCCTAACTCAAACTGTAAATACTTTAGTTCTGTAACTAGATTGAATTAAACAAGACGTTTTTCTGAAAAAGAGAATGTTTTTCCCCAGATTACCTCCTATACCACTGAATGAACCAGAAGAGGAGGAAAGGTTGAAAAGGGAGCCAAGTAGGGCTTTTGAAATGGTATTTTGTTTCTTCTCATACCATTTCTGATCTCCTCAGACAGCGTAGTATTGATCTTCTTGCCCAGACCTGGAAGCTCTGGAAGTTAAGGAAGTTCTTTCCTGCTTTTTGTTGCGCCATCCCCATTACACTGTCTCCAGTTCCAGTCCCGTTCTCCCTACAATGGTTTTGAGAATTAGGCATCTGAAGGCGATGCATGTATTTATTAGCTTCTGTATGCAGTTATCTGGTGAATGAAATCGCAGGCACATTACCACATTCATACTATTTTTTAGTTGTTGAAGTACAAGACTATTTTATCTTTCTGTTTACAAACTTAGTAATTGTTGGAACCAACCAGTACTCCCTAATAAAAACGGTCATGAATGTGTGTTAAAAAAGCATTGAAGCTTAGAGTAACTGCTGTTTTCCAAGTTCTTTTCCTAATTGTTTTGATTTTAAATCTTAAATAGTTTCTGTTTTGAAACGCTTCTTACCTGCAACCTTATTTTAAAATTTCAATTAAATGTGATACAGAATTTGTAACTTTGGAATTCTTTAACCCAATACTGGAAGTATGATTGTGTTTTCAGTACATTAAAACTTAATGTTTTGGTTTTTGTTTTATTTTTGTAGTTTGTTGATATGTTCAAAGTATTTGAAAAATTAAATAAGATGATATATTTCTATAACTGCGTGTCACAGTTAATTTTAAGAACGTTTATTATTATTTTTCCTTCTTTTTAAAGTTAAAGAAAAACTTACTGCAGATCCTGATAGTGAAATTGCTACAACTAGCCTTCGGGTATCCTTGATGTGCCCTGTAAGTAAAGCAACAAAACATTTTGGCATGTTTTACTTTTTATAACTTAATACTTTTCCTATAAAAGAAAGTGTGATAGTGACTGATAGAATTCTTAAAATTTTGTCATTTTTCCACTGTGGAATCTTCATGATTAAGCATTATAATTCCAAAGAAAGTAAGTGACCAAAGAATAGTCCTGAAAGGATATTATGGGGTTGGCGAAAAAGTCTCTGGTAGCGCTTAGTTGTCTTTAACATCATTTGAAACAGCTTTGTTAGGTTGGATTGTGACAGCTGTCATATCAGCATGCATTTTTTAAAAACTTTATCAAAATTGGTGAATTTTTGTTTAGCCATTTTAATATTGAATATACAAGAAAATACACAACTTCTTAGCATTTTATGCTTTATTTTTTCAACAAAGGTAAAAACACAACTGAAACATGAAGAAAGATTTGTTCAGTGTATGGAAAAGTCCTGTGATTGATCAAATATGTCAAAACTGGTTTGCAAAGTTGCACGCTGGAGATTTCTCACTGGACAGTGCTTCATGGTCGGGTAGACCAGTTGAAGTTGATAAACGATCAAATTGAGATCTTGAGAACACTCAACGTTATACCATGTGGGAAATAGCTGACATATTCCAAATACCCAAATCAGTAAAGTTATTAGTGAAAATGAAAAATGTGTCTTTTATAGAAAACTTCTTGGCCAACCCAGTAATATTGAAGAGGGAAGAGAGCTTTAGGTTCAGAATAATCTGTTCTAGTTAATGCTGTAGATAAACTACAGCTAAATATAAGCATATAGAGAAAGTTGCTCCTTTTATTAAATAAAATTGCCATTACCTAATAAAATGGTAATTGATGGTTCTGCTTTAATTGAGGTAGAATGTGTGAGAGTGTGAGATATCTTTTTTTTTTAAGATTTTATTTATTTATTTTTAGAGAGCAGAGAAGGGAGGGAGAAAGAGAGGGAAAGAAACATTGATGTGTGAAAGAAACATTGATCGGTTGCCTGAGGACTTGGCCCACACCCCAGGCATGTGCCCCGACCAGGAATTGAACCGACAGTGATTTTTTGAGTTTTGGGACGACATCCAACCCAGTGAACCACACCAGTCAGAGCGAGAGATGCCTTAATTCATTTGTAATGTACTTCTAAGTTGCACAGTAATTTTTGTTTTATATCTCCTAACATGGAGACTATGGGGAGAATCGGTCAGCAACTTAGGTACTCCTGTGTGCTTGGTACTGAGCTAATTGTCAGAGAAAATATCGAAGACTTGATAAAAAGTTTCTAGAAAGTTACTAGTTTAGTTTGAGAGAGAAAACCAACTCACATGAAAAAGCAGAAGATTGTACTTACCACTTACAGTCGTGCTATTGAAGTACAAGAGGAGAGATGGGAAAGGTCAGGAATAGTGGACGAAGGCTTCTTTAAAACCATTACTGTTGGAGGGGACCTTCCCATATGAAAGGGACTTGATTTGGAATCAGGAATTTATAATGTTGTGTAGGGGGCATTTGGCAACTAGTCACCATTGTGAGAAATAAGCCAAGTGGGGCGAAAGTAGGTTTATAGTCATAAGTATGCAAAACACAGTTCATTCTTATATTACTAATGTATCGTTTTCTATACAAACAACTGTAAACCTAATCTTGCCCCACCCTGTACTTTTTTTTTTAATGGAAAAAGAATTGTTCCAGAGAAAGGAATAATTTGTCAAGTTCCTATTAGGTGCTCCTTGTTTAACTGCCTTAGCAAAACCTGTGTGGGAGCTGTTTTCAGTTTGCAGGTAAGGAATGGAGAGCAAAAGATTCAGAAACACAGGTCGCACGGTAGTGACAGGAGAACAACGACAGACATTCTGGTCTTCTGGCATCATTCTGGTTCTCTGAACACAGAACACTGTACCATACTGTCCCTTTGGGCTAACATAAAAAGTCCCTGATTACACGTCCACCGTTCTACCACCCTGGTGTTTATGTATATCTTTCTTCTGAAGCTTTTTAAAAAAAAATCATTAAGTGAAATAACTTACCTTTATTGAAAAGGGATAGAATTACATGAAATTGGGATTACTTAGAAATTGCAAACCTATAGTTGTAAAACCCAGAGAAGGAGGTCTATAGTTCCACCACGGGAGGACGTGACTGCCCTGAGGCCGAGGCGGAGGCCGCGTGGGCATGTGTTTGGACCCAGGACCTTCTCTGCTCTTTAGCTCTGTGCAAACCTTCAAGTTTACATTCTGATCCATCCATTGTATCATATCCTTCTTATCAGTTCTGACATCCTCATATGGTGCTAGCTTTTATTGTACTGATATGTGGAACGAATGCCAAGTTATATTGTGATAGAAGGTTCAAGTTTGTGTGTGTTGCTCCTGCTGCCATTTGTGTGAAAATGTTTTTGAGAACACACACTTGGTTATGCATAGAGCATCTATGGGAGGACATGAAAGAGATGGATCACAGTTGTTCTCTTTTCTAAATAGGGGAACAGGTGAGAAAGACGTGTTTTCATTGTGTATGGATCTCTTCCTACCTGTGAATTTACATGTTACCTATTTTCAAGAAATATGAAATGACCTTTTAAAAATTATAGGGCAACCAGTGAGTACTAATAAAATATACAACAGTCTTGATGGAAATGAATTTTGGTTTGAATTTTTTTTTTCATTTTGATCTTGTATGACTTCTTCAGATTTTTTGAACTGACTCTTCCCTTTGAGGTTTTGTTTCTCCCTTCTGAAATGGTCTCGCTTGTGTTCTTTCCTGCTTGTAGTTAGGGAAGATGAGGCTGACAATCCCATGCCGAGCAGTGACTTGCACGCATCTGCAGTGTTTTGATGCTGCTCTTTATCTGCAAATGAATGAGAAGAAGCCCACCTGGATTTGTCCTGTATGTGACAAGAAAGCTGCCTACGAAAGTCTAATTTTAGATGGGTATGTGCCAATATAAATATTAGCTTTGTCTCCATTCATTACAGCCTCATATGAAATCTCCTGTAGCATAAAGTCCAGATGTTTGTGTTTTCTGCTTTATATTTAACTATACTCAACCTTATTTTTAAACTGTGGTTAGTGAAACTTTTATCTTCATGATTTCTGTTGGGGGGGATAGTTTCCTTTTTGTTTTTCCAAATCATTTCATAGCTTGTATGAAACGGGGGATGGTCTACTTTGTGATGTTATTCTGCTTACCCAGAACTTTGAGAAGAACAACTAGGGTTTCTGCCAAAATGCAGACAGAGCAGGCGATAGGGTAGATAGAATTATGTTACATAGCTGGTTAGTGCAAAACTGGGACGCACACCCAGGTTTTTCTGACTCTGGAGTCTGAACACTTAAGCATTATCTTTCATATCATACTGCATGTGTCAGAATTAAGGGAAATTATATAAATAATTATTAATAAGTGAGATACCTTTTTTGAATATACTTTATAAAAATTGCATGGATCATATATGTACTAGAAGTATAAGATTTAGGAAATACACTTAATGAAAAGATTAAAGTCATGAGCATCCCATCCGATGATGATTTATTTCTGTTATTGTATTAAAAAGCTTGAAATCATAGTTTATATAATGACTTGTATGTGCTTGTGATTTTCACTCAGTATAGAGTGAAATATATCCTAGATCTTTAAAGATACCTGTACCACAATGTTTTTTATGTTTTAAAAGAGTATTATAGTAAGAAGAATGAAGCAGTGAAGAGTGAATGAGTCACTTTTCGCAATATAACCTTTACTGGATTTTTACTTTTTAAATCTTTTAAATTTATTTTGAAATGATTTTGAACTTGGAGAAGTTGCAGAGTGTCCTGTGTAACTTTGACTGAGGTGGTCAGTTGTTAACATTCTGCCATATTGGTTTGATCGCATTCCCTCTTAATATATGAGATCTGTCCAGAAGGTATCCAGCCATGCAGTATTAAAAATAGACACATTTATTGATGAAGATAAGATATAAGAAACACTATATAATTTGTATGCTGAGTTAAATTTATTGAGACATACCTCTATTCCTTCTTTCATTCCATACCCCCTATGATCCTTTTTTCTTGATAATAAGCTTACAGATTTTTTTATACAAATGTTTTATTTGCTTATGTGAATTTTGTATGTTGTGTTGAAGGTTGCCCTTTACTGCCAATCTCAGGAGGCTCCTGGTGTCTATTTCTGTTTAGCCACCAATTTTTTAGATGACTCAGTAAATCACTTTTTTATTGCCCATTAAAGATCTAAAATCTAGGAGGAAGGGGGTATACTACTTGTCCTAAAGTCTAAAGTATTTAAATACCAGAAGAAACAAACTAAAGTCAGATAGCATTACTTTTGCCTCCGAGATAGTATTTATTTGTCACAGTTTCCCCTTTGAACAAAGCCATTAATGACATTTATGTACTTGATTACTTTATAGGCTTTTTATGGAAATTCTCAATGACTGTTCTGATGTGGATGAGATCAAATTCCAAGAAGATGGCTCTTGGTGTCCAATGAGACCGAAGAAAGAAGCTATGAAAGTATCCAGCCAGCCGTGCACAAAATTAGAAAGTATGTGCAGAATGGCACCAGAGAGCGGAGCAGTAAACACCCGCGTCATTGTCTTGATTGTTAATGCTGGTCACTAGACATGTGTGGAGCTCAATTTGCTAGCTTTATCTTTTCATCATCTGTTACCTATGTAATTCCCCCAACTGATTTTTATTCTTTCCTTAAGAAATGTGTCAAAGTTTATACTATCTTATAATCAGCCTTTTAAAAAATATGTTTTATTGATTATGGTCTACGGCCATACCACCCTGAACACACCCAATCTCCTCTGATCTCGGAAGCTAAGCAGGGTCGGGCCTGGTTAGTACTTGGATGGGAGATTATGCTGTTACAGTTGTCCCATTTTCCCCCTTCACTCCCCTCTACCCTGCACACCCTCTCCACCCACATTCCCCCCTTTAGTTCATGTCCATGTGTCATACTTATAAGTTCTTGGCTTCCGCATTTCCCATACTATTCTTACCCTCCCCCCGTCTATTTTCTACCTACCATCTATGCTACTTACTCTCTCTACCTTTTCCCCCTCTCTGCTCCTCCCACTCCCCTGTTGATAACCCTCCATGTGTTCTCCATTTCTGTGGTTCTGTTCCTGTCCTAGTTGTTTGCTTAGTTTGTTTTTGTTTTAGGTGTGACTTGCTGTCACATCTAAAACTCATTGTGAGTTTGCTGTCATTTTATTGTACATGTGTTTTATCTTTTTTCTAGATAAGTTCCTTTATCATTTCATATAATGAGAGCTTGGCGATGATGAACTCCTTGACCTTAACTTGACCTTATCTCAGAAGCACTTTATCTGCCCTTCCATTCTAAATGAAAGCTTTGCTGGATACAGCAATCTTGGATGTAGTAGGTTCCTTGCCTTTCATGACTTGGAATACTTCTTTCCAGCCCCTTCTTGCTTGTAAAGTCTCTTTTGAGAAATCAGCTGACAGTCTTATAGGAACGCCTTTGTAGATAATTGTCTCCTTTCCAGTGCTGCTTCTAAAATTCTTTCCTTATCTTTAATCTTGGGTAATATAATTATGATATGCCTTGGTGTGTTCCTCCTTGGGTCCAACTTCTTTGGGACTCACTGAGTTTCCTGGACTTCCTAGAAGTCTATTTCCTTAGCCAGAATGGGGAAGTTCTTCTTTATTATTTGTTCAAATAACTTTTCTACTTATTGCTCTTCCTCTTCCCCTTCTGGTACCCCTATAATTCGGATGTTGTAACGTTTAAAGATGTCCTGGAGGTTCCTAATCCTCTCCTCATTTTTTTTGAACTCTGGTTTCTTCATTCTTTTCTGATTGGATGTTTCTTCCTTCTGGTCCACTTCCTTGAATTGAGTCCCAGTTTCCTTCCCATCTCTGTTGATTCTCTGTATGTTTTTCTTTATTTCACTTCTCATAGCCTTCACTTTTTCCTCTATTTTGCAATCATATTCAACCAATTCTGTGAACATCCTGATTACCTGTGTTCTGAACTGTACATCTGATAGGCTGGCTATCTCTTCATCACTTAGTTGTATTTTTTCTGGAGCTTTGATCTGTTCTTTCACTTGGAACATTTTTTTTCCATTAGGCCCATCTGTTACATAGTGAGGGGTGGAGCCTTAGGTGTTCACCAGGGTGGGGCAACCCAGTCACTGTGTTGTGACACAGTATGGGGGGCAGGGGTCCAAGAGGGAACAAGGGCACTTGCTTCACTCTGATGGGTTTCAGTCACTTCCCCCACTACCCACAAGCAAATTGGGTCCTTTTGTTGCTGAGTCCCATGTGGGTGGGCTTGTGTACATCCTAGGACCCTGTGGGTCTCTCCAACAAACTCTTCTGTGAGGCTGGGAGTTTCTCCCGCTGCCACAACCCCCACAAGTATTTTCAGTCTGTGCTTTTAGGCTTTATTTCCTGGCACTGGGACCCTGGTTTGGAGGTATGCCTTGCTCCCCAGTTTTGCCTGGTTTTATCTGTGCTCAAATGTAGGTCCGCCTGTTTGTCAGCCTCCTTGCGCACCTTGCCCCTCCACAATTCGCTACCTCCTCTCTGGATCCACCAGCCGCTGCCTTGTGTACCTGGTGTTCACTTGCTTCCCTGCCCAGAGCCCTCTCTGTCCTGGCCACCCAACTCAGCCCATCCTACCGTTCTGGATGAATGTGTCTTCTTTAACTCCTTGGTTGTTGGACTTCCATACATTTCAGTTTTCTGTTAGTACCAGGTTTTGTTTGTTTGTTTGTTTGTTTGTTTTTAAATTGTTGTCCTTATTTTGGTTGTGCAGGGAGGCACAGTATGTCTACCTATGCCTCCATCTTGGCTGGAAGTCATACTCAGCCTATTTATAAATATTTTTCATATAAATGTAAATGAAATAATCATCTAAGATTGTTTTAATATATGGTTTTTGTAACAAAATAAAGTTATAAATGACGTCTATGAACAGTTTTTCAGAAGTGTTTTTAGAGTATCTGTTGTGGGAACCCCAGCTAGAAGTGTGGTCAGGGAGGCTACTTCATCCATTAATGGAGGGCAGAGGGAGGTGGTCACAGGTGAGCCGCTAACAAAAGTGGGAAGGCATTTTACTGTTGCCTTGGTTACTTGGGATGTGTATTCAGCCTCCAACTCCTGCACCTGTCCACGAAGAGTAGGGAAAATAAGGGCAGCTGGAGTGTTTGAAACCTGTATGCTGACTTAAAAATTCCTTTCTCTCTAACATAGTCTACTCACTGCATTTGAGTTCTGTGCTGACTGTATTTGATGTTGTAATAGTGTAATGCATAACCATTGTTCAGAGTAAGAAGAGAGGAAAAGTAAAGGATTAATGTCAATATTTATCATTTTCCTGTGATTATTATGGAACCTCTGGATGGAATGATCAAGGTTTCCCTCATCTTTGAGGAAAAATAGTGACTTAGTTGATTAGTTGCTGCTGCTTTTCCATTATCAACTAGCGTTTATTTGCTACTAAATAGGGCATAATACACATTCTATGAAATGAGTTCACATACAGTGTCTGAGACTATCCTAATGAGCAGAAAGGATAACCTAAGTGATTAGTATATAATTGATAAGAAAAGTTTTAAATATCCAAATAACAGATGAGAAGTTTGGGGGTGGGTTTTCAAGGTGAAAATTTTTATCAAGTTTTGGCTCATGGTGAGGAGTCTATATATTCTTTGACATGAGCAGCATTGCTTTGCTAGAATCTAAGTTTCTGATTCTGACTGAACACTGCCTGCCACATGCCTGAATACACAGTGAAACAGCGTATTCTTCATGGCCAGAGATCAGCCCTCTAATTCTAGACATCTTTCTCTAAAGTGACTGCTTGCTTACAGAGACAGAGTGAGCAGCAGGACATGCACAAATCCATTGGTAGTACCAGGGAGATAACTAAGAGCATATGTGAAGGAGGCTTTTGGCTCTGTCAGGGCACAGAGCTCATCCGGTCTCCTCAGGTGAGTAGTCATTTTACAGACAGATTCTGGAGTTAGGGAGTTGGTCTCTTTCCATAGGACAGAGTGTGTGGCTGTATTAGCCGTGTTCTCCCAGACATGCTACACAGGTAAGACTCCTATGGCTAGAGTCTGCCACACCTTTGAGTTTTTTCCTTTTTTTCCTCTGTTCCCTATACATGCAGGTCCAAGTGTCGTCAGTAAACCTTGTTCAGTGGCGGTAGCCAATGAGGCAAGCAAGAAGAAAGTGGACATTATTGACCTAACAATAGAAAGCTCTTCCGATGAAGAGGAAGACCCTCCTGCCAAAAGGAAGTGCATCTTTATGTCAGAAACGCAAAGCAGCCCAACCAAAGGGTTTGTTAATTAATAGTTCACTACTGTTTATTACACTTAAAACTGTTATTGGGGTAGATTTATAAATGTCTCTTTGAGAGTTGCATAATCATAGAAGGCTATTTTAATTTGCCTTCAGTTCATTTGATAGATTTCCCATATTTTGATAAAGAAAATATTCCCATCTCTGGAAAGTGAGAGTTGAAATCTTCTCATGTGTAAGTATTTCACATAAGTAGCAAATTTGGCATCACAGACCAGGAGGAAGAAGTCTAGTGTAATGGAGTGTGGAATTAGGAATCCTGCAGGTGAGGATTCCAATTTGGACACCATTGATTAATCTTTCTGTGATGTTAGATGAAATACTCAAGTTGCTTGAGCTTCCTTTTTTTTGTTTTGTGAAATGGGGTTAAAAAATGCCTACCTCATGAGGTTATTTTCAGGTTTCAATAACATAATGAAAAGAGCTCAGCCCCAGTGTTAGTCACATGTCAGTTTCTCAGTAAAGATTGGCTTCCCTTCTTACCCTGTTCAGGGCAAAATCTGGGCAAGTTCAATGCCTTCTAGTATGTCTTCTTTATGATTCATCTGGCAGAAGCCATTCCTGACCTGTAAGTGACAGGTTTGAGTATTTAGCAATAGGTGTTTCTTAAAGATTTTGAAACGTGCAAGAAAGTAGCAGAGAATTCTCTTGACATCACATGACATATTATAAAGTGACATTCATTACCACTAAGTAAGGTTTATCCAGGAATGCTTATTATTAGGAAGTACATTGATAAAATGGATTTTGTCATAAGGATGGCTATATTTGTATTTGTATTTTTTACTTTTTTAAATTGAGTTTATTTGGATGACATTGGTTAATAAAGTCATACAGGTGTCAGGGGTGTGGTTCTATAATACAGCACCTCCCCATTGCACTGTCTGTTGACCACCCCAAGTCAAGTTTCCTTCCATCACTGTTCATCCCCTCCGTACTCTTTGCCCCCACCCCCGCTTTCCTCTGGTGCCTGTATAGTCATTTTAACATGGTGTGAAGGCATTCAGTGAGTGGCAGCCATTCTTCATAGAAACTTTTTGAGATGCCAGAATTCACTTAATGGTTTGAGTGGCTTCACCACTTAAGGTGATTGATTGGTCCTCAGGCTGCATTAATAAAAGAAGTATAGTGTCCAGGATACCCACACATGCCAACTTTGTTGAGTTTATCATAATATTTGATCAAAGTCCAGTGGAGGAAAGATAACGTGGGAAAGCTACAGTTTTCTGAACACTAAGATAGTCGGCGTTTGCTGAAATTACTGTTCCATGTTAACGCTGGCCTGGGTGCCACCTGTCTCCGTGTCACAGGGGAGACTCGCCTTGAATCCCTTTCACCTCTTACTGCTTTTTGTTCCTGATTGTCCTTGTCACGCCCTATCTCTTGGCTCAGCATCTAGACATTTTACGGTTTTCCTCTGCTGAACTTCCTGGTCAATGATAGTAAGCAAATCAGAAAGAATAGAGGATGAAAACCCAGGAAAACTTATTTTAAGTTACAGAGTAGAAATTTTGTGAGCAGTTATTTTTAAGAGGTATTGTTTTAGTAAAAATAACAATTTTACAGAATACCAAAAGTAAAAAAAACATTCTGCCAGAGGTAACCACTGTTAACTTTTTTTTTCTTTTTTTTAAGATTTTATTTACTTATCTTTAGAGGGGAAGGGAAGGAGAGAGGGAGAGAATATCAATGTATGGGTGCCTCTCCTGGGCCCCCCTCTGGGACCTGGCCTGCAACCCAGGCATGTGCCCTGACTGGGAACCGAACCGCATTCCCTTAGTTCACAGGCCCGTGCTCAATCCACTGAGTGACACCAGCCGATGCCCACTGTTAACATTTTGACGGTAATCTTTCTCTCACCTCTACTTCCATACCTAATACAGTTCTTAAATGCAGTTGGGTAATACCTCAGAGGAAACTGGCACCTTAATTTAAGAGATTTTAGAAAATGTCTGATATTTTCTACGGTAAGAGATAATTTTAAGGATGATGCCCCCGCCTCATTCCCTGGAAATGGAATGTTGCTTTGTCATTAGTACAGAGGTATTCTAAAGATAGGAAACAAAGAATAGAGGTAAATATGTATTTCTCTGGATTAAGTATCATTAGGAATTGGTTGTAAAATTAAACCTACATGTATATAAAACTTTTTTTAATCCTCACCCGAGGATATGTTTATTGATTTGAAAGAGAGAGGGGGAAACGCCAATCCGCTGCCTCCCCTGCGTGCCCTGACCAAGGACCACACCTGCACCCTTGGCGTGTGCCTGACTGGGGAGCGAGCCTGCAGCCTTTTGGTGCAGGTGTGGCCAAACTTCTGTTGTCGCTGGGCCACGATGCAAGAAGAAGGTTGTCTTGGGTCACACATTATATACACAAACACTAAAGAAAATTGAGGAGCAAAAAAACTATTTTAAGTAAATTAATAGGTTTTTTTGTTTGTTTTAAAGATTTTATTTATTTTTTTAAAGAGAGGGGAAGGGAAGGAGAAAGACAGGAAGAAAAACATCAATGTGTGGTTGCCCCTAATGTGCCCCCAGCTAGGTAGCTGGCCTGCGACCCACTCATGTGCCTGAACCCACAACCATTTGGTTTGCAGGCCTGTGCTCAATCCACTGAGCTATACCAGCCAGGGCTAAATTGGCAGTTTTATGTGGGGCTGTGTTCATATCCATTCTGGGCCACGTGCTACCCACGTGGTTGGACACCCCGGTACAGGATGATGCTCTAGCCAACTGAGCTGTCTGTCTGGTCAGGGCTCTTTTTAAATTTTTTATGGTCATAAAGTGGGAGGGAGCACATGGTGAATTTCAGGCCTGTGGATAACAGTTTCATAAGTTTTTGAATTAACCCATTTTTAGGTATTTAAGCCTGGACCAAATATGATTAATTCAGTGATCCAGTACACAGTCTTGAATATTAATATTGGCTGCCTGGCAGCATTTCAGCAGTTTTACCTTTGTGCTATGATATGTACGTGAAGCCATAAAATTTAAAATAAGTATGTACACAGTGATGACATATATATATATATATACACACACACACACACACACATATGCCTGTGTATTTGCCAATTCTATGAGGAGGCAGTAACTAGTGGTAAAGCTTTTTACAAATTTTTATTATTTTATTGCATCACACTTGTGTACTCATAGTTTCACCAGGCGTAGCCGTTGACACTTCTCTGGATTCTCTGTTATTCCGTATCTATAACCCCGGGGGAGGTGGCGGGGTGAATCATTCATCTTTCTGAAAGTGGTCCTTATGAGGATTTGACTAAAACAAAAATATTAGTACACAATTTGATAATACTGACAAATGACTAGTTTTACCCAGTCTATATAAAGTTGAATTTGTGTTAATAGTTGTGCAGTTCAGGTAATAGGAATTAATTTATAGTAAAGTTTAGTTTTTCAGATATTTGCTGATATTTTAGGTGTCGATTTAATAATTTCTACCCTTGCTGGATTTTGACATTTTCACATGGTTTTAACGGCCGACATTTTGTATTGCAGAAACAAGGAATGTTAGTGAACCATTTAAAGTAAAGTTGTGTGTTATGAGAAGAGAACACGCGCACTGATTGTATGTGGCTGTGGTGCCAGTGTGCTGCTCCGACCCCTCTGTGACACGAGTGAAGGGTTCGGGGAGGGGAGGGAGTTTGTCGTTGCATCCGGTAAACGTGATCCGAGTTGAACAGTCAGTTTGGGGTCAAGACAAAAGGAAGTGTCCGGTGTGATCGGTGAAAAGAAGAAAAGGGGCAGCAGGAGGAAGGCAGGCAAGGTTTTTTTCTTATAAACCTGAGCATTAGTTTTTTTGTGTGTCAGAGATAAAGTAATGGATTAAAATATACTTTTATGTAGGAACTTTTTTGTTAAGAATTTATTTAACAGAAAACTACTTGAACAATAATTAAATAAATTTTTTAAAAAGACAATGAAACCAAAAAAATGTATTTATTTATTTTTAGAGAGTGGAGTGGGAGAAAGAGAGGAGAGAAACATCAGTGTGTGGTTGCCTCTCACACATCCCCTACTGGGGACCTCGCCTGCAACCCAGGCATGTGCCCTGACTGGGAATGGAACCGGTGATCCTTTGGTTCACAGGCGGGCCCTCAATCCACTGAGCCATACCAGCCAGAGCAAATAGGAGCTTTTTTAAATAAATGAAATCTTGTACGCGTGTATGCATTGTGTATTTGTATATATGCAGGGTGGGGCAAAAGCAGGTTTACAGTTGTGAGTACGTGAAACAGTTTATCCTTATATTATTACTTATTAATTATTATATTGTTTTCCATACAAACAACTGTAAACCTACGTTTGCCTTGCCCCATATCTATATATGTCTTTAAAAACTCGCCTCTTAAATATTTAAAAAATACAATTAAAATATTAACACTGTGAGGTGGCCAGAATAATCAAAGCTGCTTTTTAAACTTCTCTCCTCAGCACTAACATACCAATCTCTCTTCTCATCTCCGTGCCCCGTCCCCCAATTTCTGATAGGCACTCCTGTGGGGGAAGTAGGACCATGTGTGATTTGAAACCACTTTTGGCGATTTCCAGTTCTTTTACTTTCATTCCTGTAGAGGATGACTTTTTTTAAAAACCTCCAGAAAATATGTACTTCGATACAATATAATTTATTTGGTCTAATCTCAAGTTCTCTCTTCCCCCCTCTATAGCCTGCCTTTTCCAACATTTTCACCTCCTGCTTATGAGGTTAGGTCTGCAGATACCGTTGGAGGCCGAGAAACCTTCTGATTATTCTAAGCTAAGGCGATGCTCTTTGGAAGATGACTTCCTTCCTACTTCACCTCCCTCTGGAAAATGCTTTTGAAATACCAAGCTTATTGTCTCAGCATATTATATTTCCTGTGTCTCCTAAATGCAACTGTTTTTAAGGTTTATGAACTTTGACCTATGTTGTTTATTCATTTTTTTGACTGACTCAGTTTCCACCACAATCGTATATGTACTCTCAGGAAGATTTCACTTTGCACATTTTCTGGTGACATCCATATTTTTGATGTACTGCAGAATAATAGCCAGACATTATCCTCCTTTCAGAATGCAAATTAGTTTTAGAAGGATCCCAGTGTCTAAGTAAGTTAAATAGTGATTATTCAAGTGGTTTGAGATTTAAATTGAAGTTATGAAAAAGTTCTTGGTTGTTTGTACAGTATGATGAGCGCCATGCAACTGTGTCGTCACGTATTGTTACCTAATATTTAATAATCTGAGCGATAACAGGAAGTGTTTCAACCAAGAGAAAGGACGTCTGGAGGTCCTTGTTGTTGTCTCAGTCTAGCTTGTGACCGTGGTTCTACTTGAAGTTTCTGTTGGTTTTACGTTCTTCATCTTTGTTGTGGTCCCTCCCAGCTACAGAATTCTGAGCCTCTCACAAAGCTTGCCAATTCTGGCAGCACTGTAGGATGCCAGCCTAATGTTCCTCTGTCCCCATGTCCCCACACCCACCCCTTTATTTAATAAAGTTTTATTTTTCAAAATGTACAGTTGGTGGGATTGGTTTATGAATCTTTGCTAGCAGCTGGGGCATCGCCAGCTTTAGTACTTCGGATGTAAATCACTTGAACTTTGTGCTTTGAAACCGGTTTACTAGGCTTGTACTGAGGAGCTTCCGAAGGGCTGTCCTGGTCAAGGGACTGGATCTTCATGTGTCATAACAGCTGGTGTGATAAGTTTGTAGAGTGCATCATATATGGCTTCATCAGACAAGACTAGGTTATTGTGCTTGTCTCAAACATTGCCTTTGGACCAGTTCTTTTTAGTCTTGCCCCCAGATAGTTCATGGGGTCTTCGTCTTTCTTGGCTAATGGCACCTTTCTTCTTGTCATCCTTGGGTGGCATTATGAAACTCAGCAGCTAATTGTTTACCCTGAGCAAAGACAAAATGAAGGTTAAATAGGAAGAAGCCAAAATTGTCTCTTTATATTACTGAACTTAAAAAAAATGTCTATACTGCTTTTTGAAATTATAGTTATAATTATTTAAAGTATTATATATAATGTCATTTATAAAGTATTTCTTAAAATGTGTTTAATTTTTAAAGTCTTGGTAGATAGTATTATTAATAAAATAGCCAACATTTTACTTCTGGATATTAGGTCTTAAATCCTGAGTAGTCATTTTAATTTCTGTTTACTGCCTATTTTCATCAAGTTGGCAGGGTTTACAAATGGCTTTCTTTGCTTAGGTGATTCCCAGGTAAGAGTGCTAATAATTAAAACAATTCAAGTTAGATGGATGAAATTCTGGTTGAACTATATAGTACATAGCTTCTCTCATGAAGTTGCCCTAATTTAAATAAAATTTTAGGAGTCCTCTATTTTCTAAAATTTTTATAAATAAAACAGCTAATATCCACATATGTTATACACATTGATATGAACATATTCAAAGTATATTTCTATTTGCGGATGAACATTTTATCTGAACTCCAGCACTGCACATTGTATTTTATTGCTGACTTGCTCTCACATCACAGCTGCTACCAAGAGCCCACGTAAGTTCATTTTAAAATGAAGGCCATTAACAAAAGAGGAGAGTGGAGTACTGTGTAGTGAGTAGCTGCTATATAGTTGTGCTGAAACTTAGTGAACGTACCACTGAGAAAACACAGTAGTGCAGCCCTTCTCTCTTGTGAACTGACAGCCAGATTGTCTGTAACTGCCCGTGCCATTTGAAACAGGGTTCTCATGTACCAGCCATCTTCCGTAAGGGTGCCCAGTGTGACTTCGGTTGACCCCGCTGCTGTGCCGCCTTCATTGACAGACTACTCGGTACCATTCCACCACACGCCGATATCGAGCATGTCATCGGATTTGCCAGGTATGTGAGGAGTGTTTTTTTTCTATCAAGTTTTATCATTTTTAATCTTAATCTCTGGAGCAAATAGAGTTTAAAAATTTTAGATAGAAATGCTAAGGAAATTTGAAAGCTTCATATAAAGGTAGTATCTGTTTTAATATATCATAGTCAGTTCCTGTCATTTTAACTAAAGAGCAGTCTATAGATTCCTGATGTTAAAAATATAGTAGGGTAGCAGGAAATCCATGGAATTTATTTCCACTCATAGAGAATTTGTACTCAGAGACTTTTCCTTGCTTTATTTATTATGCAAGCTTCACAGGTTAGGGAGAGAATATTTTCTCATACTCTTCTTAGTAGCCCATTACAACTTTTGTGAAGCAAATATTGCCTGTGGTTTTCCCCTGTGGATTTTCCCCCTGTAAAAATAGTGTCTACTAGCTGTTTCCCGAGAGCACTGCTTAATATTTGGGGATGTCTTTTATATGTATAGTAACTCAGCATTTAAAATATCCAAGGCTGCTTGAATTACCTTAACACCATGACTTGTGCAACCCAGGCCATATTATAAATATAAACTCTCCCCACAAAACTCTTCTTTCTTCCCTGTATAATTGTTTTTGCTGGCACTTTTGTCTATCAGATGTAGCAAGTTAGAACCAGTGCCTCTTGGTGCTCATGACTTCGCTTCTCTGAAGGGCACATTTAGTGTGATTCAGGTCCCTCCCTAGGTGGTTAGTTTTTGTTTCTATATTTCTGAGGTTAATTTTGACCTATCATTTGTTCTTATTCCTCTAAGTGAGGTCTTTATTTTGAGAACAATATATATTCTATTGAGCAAAATTTGTGTTGTTTGAAATAGTTGATAGTTGTTTTTTACCCAGCCCAGTCCAAATAAAATTTAATGGAAAAGAATAGACTACAAATAGTATCCATCGAAAAATTTTAAATACATTTTGCTTCTTTTTTTAAAAATATATTTTATTCATTATGCCATTACAGTTGTTCTATTTCCCCCCTTCATTCCCCTCCACCCTGCACACCCTGCATTTTGCTTCTTAAATTGATTTAGTCTGTATGTACTTTGGGATTTGATGTTTTTGAAAAATTTATTGTAAACCCACCTATCACCAATTAAAAAGTGTGTGTTGTATAAAAAGCTTGAGGCTAATAGACAGTTGAGGTTTTATGGTTGGTGAGAGAGAGAGAGAGACAGAAACTTGGAGATTCTTAATTCTTAACTGCCATCTTTGGCTTTAATCTTGGTTGATTTGAAGTGAAGTTGAAGTGTTCACACATCATCTTAGTATGTGTTATTAACAAACACTTCAGAAAGATTTGTTTCCTAAACACTTTGAATTAAAAATTGATCGTGAAAAAAGATGGTAAATGTTTCATTTACTGAAGTGACCCTAACCGTTTAACAGTGTAATAGACACAGTTTACAAATCATCTGCTCTGTTAGTTTTCAAATTATGTGAATTGTGGATGAATTTTTAACTTTAGAGAACTTACAGTTTTTCAAAATTCAGACATAAATCGAGACTATAAAATGGGCATATTTGAGAAAAATATGGTAAAATATGTTAATTGTATATTTTGTAGAATACACTTCAAGCCTGGTATTAAGGAACTAAGACTAGTATTCAGGGTTGAGGTTCAGCCAATATAAACCAGTGTAATGATACTGGTTATTAAAATGTCGAATTGCTTTCTACCAGTTTGTAAACTGAATAGAATAGAATCTATTGTAATTTATAAGAACTACCAGTTTATTGTCATCTGTGAATCATGTGGCAGTTAGTACATCTAAATAGCTTAGTTTTTACCTTGGTTTTACTGTTAATGTGCTCTTTCGTAATTAGTAATTTATTTTTATGCGTACTTTTATATAATTAGTCATATTGTACAGAGCTGATAATTATAAATTTAATAATTTATAATAAAATATTAAATAAAACCAAGAATGGAGAGATGACAGAGTTTTAATACATTTCTTAACATTCTTTTTAAACATCATAAACATGAATCTTCTGAATCTGCAGGAGAACAAAGAAGAAATGATATTAATAATGAACTGCAGCTTGGAACGCCTTCTGATACTGTGGAACAGTGAATTCAAAATAAAACCTAATTTGTATTTATGGAGTGGAAAACAGCTTGCTTATTTCAAGAAAAATATGACTGCCTTATTATTACTAGTGACATATTGTCAGGGGCGAATGGTGCTCAAAGGTTGTATCATTAAAACTTGAAACTACTAAACATTTACCTACTTAATCATGTAGCAATCATGTCTTGTAAGTTCATGGCTCAAATAAGGAATGTGTTGTTATTAATAAAACATGTAGAGTCAGTTTCACTTAAAGACATTTAAAATCTAAAAGCTACAATTTTATCAACGTTAATAGAACAGACATTTAGAATGTACCATCAGAGTTGTTAACACGACCTGCTTTTTAGTTAAAGATAATTGAGTGCATTTTCAACCATGAAATACTTAGGAGGGCATAAATAGATATCAGGATAAACTACTGTTGAATTTGAAACTTAGGTTGAAATAGAAAAAACTGCATTTTGTTAAACTTCCAAGACAAGAAATAGCAGTAATTACTATTCATGAAAGTTCAACTGTATGAGCTTTAATAGTCTACTTAAAAGGTAAAATGCAGGATTTTGATAATGAAGTTATTAGAAGGAATAACATCTGACATAGTATAGCAAATTTTAGTGATGGTTTTTGAGGAAAAATAGTTTTAGTGAGAAATATTTACATTAGAACATTTTTGAATTTTGTATAGCCAGCATCTGTGTAATACTGGGAGATAGCCTAGAATTTCCACCAGAATTTTAGAACTCCGTCTAGGTGGTTTACTGTGCGTTGTGTAAGGCACCATTTTCAGTGATCCCTGGATGAGGTGTCAAAAGATACAGATCAAGTGAATCTCTTAAATGAAAAGGCTGTGTGTGTGTGTACGTGATATATGTACAATCCATATATTATATGTGTATTGATACACACACACACACAAAGGCACACATGACATAATTAGGGGAGGTCTGAAGAGCTGGGAATTGAAAAATGAAGGCACCTCAATGGGCAGCCTTCAGTGCTAGAGCTGCAAAAACAGGTCGAAAAATTACACCAAGCCTATGTTTTGATATAAATTTTGATATAAATTGAAGTTTTGAAGTGGGAATAGTTAAACATTTAGAAAATAAGTATTTTTGAATGACTTGGCCTCGGTACAGATACTTCAACAGAGCAATACTTTCTTAGCTTTATTTAAAAAGTTTGTTAATTCAAGTGAACTGAGTGATTCAACAAACATTCAAAGTAACTGAACATATAAAATTAAATAAACTATAAAAGCAGAAGTTATTATAAAAACAAAAATGTTACACCATTAGAAGCAAAGTAAAATTAATAAAATTATAAGTGTTAGACAAATTAGTGTTCAGCAGAAGCAGAGAAAGGATTTACTGAACAAGATCATTAATGTGAAGAAAAACTCTGCTTATGAAGGTAATGTCACCTACTGATACTGATGGCCAGTTTAATGGGGAAGTTGTTGGAACAGTCCATTGCGATCCCCTTTGTCCTTTGTTGGCTCAAACCCTGTTGTACTGTATAGTGACAGGCATACAAAGTAAAAAATCATGTCAACATTTTTTTACATGTCTTAGAAATGGAATGATTTGTTTTCTTCAATGATTGGTGCTACCTGTCCAGCTTCCTGTCACTGGATGTTTTTAATCACACCTTATTTAGGGACTGTAAGGAACTAACTATAATTAAAATTTTGAGTTACCAACTATTCATTTTGGTTATTCAGTGTTTTAAATACTATTCCCACTAATATTCTCTATTTTGAGTAATAGTCCAGTATCAGACTTTTACTCTGTATGATTAAGATGAATTGAGTGCCAACAAATAAAATTTATGGAATTCAATAGAAATTGACCTATCTCAATGACTTATACTTAGTATATTTTGTATTTGTTTTATTTTACATTTTGAAATTTAGTCAAACGGGCATCTAGGGGAACTTTTTTTTTTTAAATATAAATTTTATTTAGTTACTTTTCAAGTACATTTTTTTTTAATCTATTTCTCCCATCCCACCCCACCCCCCCGCCCGGTCTCCCCCCTCCCTCCCATTCCCCGCCCCCCCCCCCCCCCAGTCCTCATCTCTGTGTCTTTCATACTTGTTCCTCAAGGGGAACTTTCTTGAAAGTTTATTTCTAGATTTTTCAGACATGAAGTTTTTTATTATTTATTGTTATAACTATAATGCTTCAAAATGGTATTTTACTGGGCAGCCTTTTCCACATTCCTGTTTCTAAAGCTTAATTGGAGACTCTTACGTTTTTAGTTTAGAGAACAGCATTGGCTTTTAACCCAGTAAGCCTGGATGAGATTTGGCTTATTAGTGAGCAGAAATGATCGAGTGCTCGCTTCATGCAGAGCCGTGTACTGCTCCTGTGGGAATGTGGGGGCAGAGGGGTTCCGTGAAACAGATATCTGTAAGGAGCAGTGTTTCAGATGAAGCTCACTGTGGTACATTTCTTACTTTTTCTTTTTTTAAATATGGACAGGCCTTTTTTTTTTTTTAAGATTTTATGTATTTATCTTTGGAGAAGGGAAAGGGAGAGGGAGAGAAATATCAATGTACAGTTGCCTCTTGGGCATCCCCTGCTGGGAACTGGCCTGCAACCCAGGCATGTGCCCTGACTGGGAATCGAACCGGGGTTGATTGGTTCGCAGGCCCACGCTCAGTCCACTGAGCTACACCAGCCAGGGCTTGTTGTGGTATATTTCTAAAAAATAAATGCAAAGTATCTTAAGAGCCTAAGTATTTTTTTGGTTTTTATGGTTCATGTTCAGGTTACTACCTCATCATTTTTATTGCATCTCATTCTGTTAAGTGATGAAGCGAACACATGTTCGCTTTGACTAGTCCTACTTCTCTAGAAATTTTTGGACTCCTCCCTCTAAGTCTCTGGAAAGTGATTTTCCAGATGTTTTGTCAGGAAATACCATATTTTGTCATGTGTAATGCAGACCCATGTTTTTGGCCCAAATGTTCAGAAAAATGTTCCGTTTCAAGTTTTTAATTCAATATTTTATTCATTTATATTTAGATACTTGTGTTTTATGTTTCAAAGAAATTTTAGCAGTTTTGAACATATTAAGGTACAAGAAATTTTATGTAACAAATAATTACAAAACACGACAGATACAGTGTACGTGAGGTACTATCCATTTATAATGCACATCCTTATTTTTCCCTCAAAATTTGGGCAAAAAAGGGTACATTATACACAGCATAATATGGTATGTTCATTTTGGGGTTTTTTATACAGTGAATATCACTGCTTCTGGTATAGAACCTTCCTGTTGCAGAGTGGTAAGCACTTGCCCCAAATGTTTTTATGACTTATGATAAATATAAAATGATTTCGGGAAATAATTATTGTCTCCAAAATATGAGGCTCCTATTAACAAAGCATTTTTGTTTTAGGTTTGGATTTTCTTTCCCTTATTCCAGTTGATCCCCAGGTATGTATCCTGAATTTAAGCAACTAATTTGCATTTGATTGTTGCTTATATCATACTAACTAAAAATGACCAGTTGCATAAAATCAGGACAGTCAACTCTCAGTTATTTACATTGATGGAAAGAAAGTACTATATAGATATTTCAGAGTTTTATTTGGATAAATAAAATTGCTCTTTTAAATTTATGATGTTTTGGCCTTAATACCTGAGTTTTTAATTATATTTTATCCTATTTAATAATCATTTGGCAATAATTATAAGCATTGAATGGTTCAAATGAGGGAAAGCACTGCCAGATGATAAGTTAAAACTTTACAGAAATTTAAACACTTATTCTATACAGAGAAAATAGCTAAGGCTGGTTAACCTGCCTTGAATCATTATCTTTATTCTTCCTTGTCTGTAAAGGCAGTCAGATTCAGACTTTGGGGATGCCCCAGCCTAAGGTTGCCATTAACCAGTGATCCCTGCTTTATCCATCAGAGATAATGAGCTACCGTGTCCGTCCCAGAGTCCCAACCCAAACACCTGCAGTGAGGATAGACTCCATGGTGCAGAGCAGAGCAGCGGAGGAAGAGGCCTGGGAAAAGCCAGAGAGGAAAGTGAGATAGAGAAAGGGGCTTTGAAAGAGGCATTGAAAGTAGGAAAGGAATAGAGGGAGGACATGGAGCACCACTTACTGGGCAGCTCAGAATCAGCTAACTACAGGTTTCAGATGACTCCTGTATGAGTGGCCAGATACTATGTATCTGATCACAAACAAAACCAGAATTTTTAAAAAATATTTTTATTTATTTATTTATAGAGAAGGGAAAGGAGGGGGAGAGAGAGGGAGAGAAACATCCATGTGTGAGAGAAACACAGATTGGCTGCCTCTTGCACACCCCTGACTGGGTACCTGGCCCACAACCCAGGCGTGTGCCCTGACTGGGAACTTGTGCCCAGGCCACACTCTCGATCCACTGAGCCACACCAGCCAGGGCCAAAACTGGAAATTTGGGCCCAAGTTAACAGGCATGGAACGAAGAATTTCTTTTCACCCTGAGTTGACTTTGTGACATCAGTAGATTCTATCTACGGCAAAAAGAATCTCTGTATTCTAGGAAATGAATTCTTCAGGCTTAAAATGTTACTGAGTTTTATTTTTTTATATGAACCACCCTTAAAAAATTATCTGGGAACCCAGAGGATGCTCATTCATAGTGTTTACTTGGCATGCTTAATGTTAGGCTAACTTGATTGTAAGCCAATAGAAGGGTGAGGTTGTGCCTTTAGTTTTCATAGAATCTAGATTTGTTATATTTCACCTCCATATCACCCCCTTTTGCTCCTGCGCAGCTGTGTCAATTACACACGAGGGTTGGGAGTTGTAGGTAAATGGCTGCAACCTGATTATTACAAAAATGCAGGGCATAGAGCCTGCAGCAACAAGGCAGTGCTGTGGTATCTAGCACTCACTTTTATAAATGAAGTAGAGGACCTTTTTACCACTGGGCAGTCACATTTGCCTGAAAAGTAGGGGAAATAAAATGTGTTTGGGTTTTTTCCCAGCTTCTTTCTGCAATTATAGTGGAAAGTAGGAAATCAATTTGCTTTTAGAAAAGTTTACTACCTAAGAGTTAAGCTTTTTTTTTTAGAACTCTTTAAGAACTATTCATTTTTCCCCTTAACCAATATCCCCATGGTATTCGTTTTATTGATGAACCAAGATAGTTATTCATCATAAACATTAAATTACATTTTTGAAAGGCAGCCTGAATTTTAGTTTTTCTTTCATTGACTACCTGCTTAAACCTGGGGCTGCCATTCCCGTATCTTTTTGAAGATCATGTACTCTGAACAGCCCCAGTTTTAGATTCCTGTTCTGTAACTTTGTGTCTTAGTTATAGCTGACTATAGAATTGATAATATTGATTAGATTTCCTTACTGATCTTTCATACAATCTGAAGATAAACTTAAGATATCTCTTGTATATACTGGACCTCACTTATTTTACTAAAGTCAGTGCCATGTCTTACATAAAATATTCTACGATTACATAAAATAAAGTTTTTAGCTCTTGTCTGTCTCTCTCCCTCTTGGTCAGTACTAGAGTATTAAACTCAGGTTTGAATTTGTTAAGGAATCTTCAGACAAGCTGGTAGGGAAACAAACATGAACTCTTACAGAGTGGTGTCAAGAAGATTAGATTAGATATACTTTAAGATTTATACTAAAATTTTGTGATTACTGAGATAATTCTCTGTTCTGAGCATCACATGGTAGTTAGCCATCAAGCGTCTGCCCCAGGATGAATGATGCCTTGGAGTTACACGGGTGTTGTTACATGTATGTACAAAGGAGTCAAATGCCACTAGTTAGCCGATGAGTCTTGACATTACTCCTAAATGATCTGATTGACACTAAATTTTGAAAGAATTCTTGAATTTTGCATTGGTATTTTTGCTCAATACCATTAAAACTAAGTATTTACTAGCCTTTTGCAGTGTGATTTAAACCTGGTGTAAATACATTCGGTGAGCAAAATCTTTTTAAAATTAATTACGAATTATAATTATGGGGCCTATATTTACTATTGAGCGCTGTTGACGTATTTGGTCAACACATTCTAAGAGAATCAAGAATATGCTACATTCACTAAATAATGTGAAATAGCTAAATTCATGCCACTTTCCATCCAAAGATGTGAAGTTTTGAGAAAATTTTAAATCCTGTTGGGATTTAAATAATGTGGCTCTCACTTGTGAATATCTAACAATTTCTAGTTTCTTTATTTAAAATCAATGTAGCCTCTTCCTCATCAGCATCATTGTTTGTTTCAAGCAGTACTGTCCTCCTATGTTTTTGGATAGTCTCACCTCACCCTTAACAGCAAGCAGTACGTCTGTCACCACCACCAGCCCCCATGAGAGCAGTGCTCATGTTAGTTCATCCAGCAACAGGAGTGAGACAGGGGTCATAACCAGCAGTGGAGGTAACATTCCTGACATCATCTCATTGGACTAAAGGAGGACTCACTCAGTTCTAGGAATCATTCATCAAAACTGCTCCTTCTTGGATCTCTGGTCCATGGAAGCTATTTTTTTTATAACAATTACTTTGATATTTATTAAAACGTCAAATGGATTCTTTTGCTTTCTGAGAAATGAACACAGATGACTGCAGCAAGAACCAAATGACACACGAGACTTCTTATTCATGCTGTATTCTCAGCATCAAATGCATTCAGCCATTAACTATCTTCTCGGGAGATGGATTTCAATTTCATGTTACTGGATGGATTCTACAAATCAGTTAAACATATTTTTGGTTGTAATAAACAGCAATAAAATCATGTAAATGTTCAAGTAAACTTTTTTCTAATTAAAAAAAGATGTAATCAATGATTCTGAAATGACAGCAACGTTTGTTTAACCCGATGTGAAGGAAAAATCATATGGAAAGAAATTAAGCTTGCCAAATGAGTCCCTAACATGGAGATTTGGTCTCTTTCGTTGAACTGATGAAGTCTTGATGAGTGGACAAAGCTTGGGTTCCACTTTTCTTCTGCAGTCCCAGTTTTCTTCCTGATTGCATCAAAGAAAATGGTCTTTGTGTTACGCATTTTTTCCCCTGGTTGTCATTTACATTCTGATATTGTTTGCTACTGGATACAGAGAGAAGGTCTAGGGCGTGGTGCTCTGCACTAGCGAGTGTGTTGAAGAACACGACGCAGATTCTGCCCTGACACGATGCGTGTGGTTTTGGAAATTGAACATTTCATTGTAGGGATTTCTATAAATTTTGGGCTTGCCTTTTCAAAAAAGAAATTCTGTGCAGCCATTGAAGGAAATATTTTTGGAGTAAGGTGGCTGGAGTGTTAGAATTGTGTTCATACCATCCAGAAGTATGGAGAGCTTGGAGGCAGTGGAAGAACAGATTTAGGGGAGGTGGGAATAACAAAGTTTAACTTGTTTTTAAGAACTTATTTTGCTCGTTTACTTTATAGAATAATATTCAAGTCTTTGTTGAAACGTTTCAGATTTTCATAACCCTGACCAAAGTATGTTTTAGATCTCTGATTATATTGAAAGAAAAAGCAAATAGCAAGAGATGGGGATGGCGTCAGATTTCCTTTTTCTTTTTTAAAGGGAAATCTTTCCTGAAATCGCAAAAGATGAAATAGAAATGTTTGAATTTAATTAAGGAAGTGTGGTTAGGAGGATGAGCCTGAGCCCCACGTTGAAAACCACTGTCTGATAGCTTGTGTTTGATTTTAAATCTCTCAAAAAACTGAATTTTACCCTTAGAGAAACATTTTCATTTAACTTCCGTATTTTATTTTGCTTCATTTGGCTTCCTACGTAATTTTCGAGTTCTCCAGGAGTTAGTACTTTCCCAGCGCTTAGCTTTCTCTCCCCAGTCTGTCTCTACTTTAAAGGTAAAGCCCTTTTTGTAAAATGACTAACCTAACTGATTCTCAGGCTGAAGTGCCCAGATGAAGAGTATCAGTTTCAGTTAGACTAGAGACGCGTCACTCCAGGGCTGGCGCAACTCCAGGGAGCTGACTTGTCGAGTGCTTGGTTTTTACACCTCCTCGGGTTTTCATGGCCTGTGTGTACCTTTTGTACTGACCTTGGTCCATGTGGTTTCCTGTATCATCTGTTTGACTACAACGTCCCCTTACCTAATAAACTTGGAATACTGTGCCATAGTTGCCAGTTCTATCTCGTCATTCGATTTCCAGTCCATGTTGCAGTCTTTTGGCCCGGTTACAGAATTTCTTCATGGTAAAGTTTTATGTTGCTGCTTTAAATACAGATGTAATTTCTGTTAACTCTGTATTCAGATAGAAAAAGTAACCTGATGTGTGTGATATAATTTGTTAATAAAGAAATGAAGTATATTTGTTATCATTTGTTACCCTTCAGATTTTCAGAGACTCCCCTCCCGAATTTAACCAACAGAGTTTTTATAAGGTAAATGAAAATATTAATAGAAATTAGTTTATTTTCTTGGTTCTTGTAATGGATACCTCTGCTTTTGTAGTTGTGATTTGTTTTCTTTTTGATGTTTTATGTGAACAACTTTAGTGTTCGTTTTGGTGCTTCCCACTGAAATTACATATACATTTTTAATTTATCTCATGCAGGCGACTTAACATTTTTTCAAAATCACTTCAGTTTATAATCTTAAACTTGGGGTTTTACCCACGTAAGTTGGAAGATGAGCACTTTTCTTTGTGCCTTTGGCCTTATGATAACAAGCATGGTTACTAAGCCATTACTCTTTCTCAGTGTGGTCACTGAGTATTTTCACCAGGACCCTCAATTTTTAGCAGTTGGTTTTGCTAGCCCGGACTTCCTGTTTAACCAAGTATAAGGCAGTTTCAGAGGAGGTCGTCTTAACTGTTGCTTAGATGTCAGCCGACTGGTGATTATGTAGAGTATTCTGTTTAAGGAAAGGATCTGCGGTTACCAATCTCTTAAAGGCACCTGCCACCCTTCATTGTTATCTTTACTCCTGTAGAAATGTTAAGGGCTTTTCTTGCTTTGGTGACTCCTGGCGGTGTACTTGGTGCTGCATATAGCTTCACACCTAAGGTCTGCTTACATTCTCTGACCTTCTGACCCTTGGGCGAGCCACTTTAGGGTTTTACTCCCGTTTCTGCTCGGAAGGTGTAAATACCTAGCATTTGGTCCTGGGACAATTATAAAGGCCCAATGGAATAGTGGAGGTACATTTAGGTTATAGGACACTTCTCTAATGTGTTTCAGGAAAGCTAGAATGCAAATATCATGATTAGAAATTCTGAATATAAATAAATTGGTCTGTAACTCTTGGTATAAAACAAGTTTCCCTAGGGTAGAATCTTCAGGAATTTGAAGAAAAGTAAGGTGTTGCATTTTAGGTGAAGTGTTCCACAGAGACTGTTCTGACTTTGAGATTCAGACCTTGCAGACATTCTGCCTTCAGACCAATCCTGGACACTTACAATCTAGTGACCAATTGTCTGTTTTCCTTCTGCCTTTAAAATCTTTATTAGTTACATTTTGTCTTTTTAAAGTTGGTTTTTACAAAGCATTAGTTTAAGTCTCAGATGTGCTGTTCATTTGTAGCCCTCAGTTGGTCAAAAAGCATTCAATGGTTTTATTATTTTTTTTAAGTAAACCCTTTATTTTCCTCATTTCCTTTTCATCTTGAAGACTGTAGAGCAGTGTGCCATTTAAACTTGGTTAACATTGTATGTAGTGGCCCTGGATCCACGTGGTGTGGGAGCTCACAGGCATGTAGACGGGTGATTGACAGCGCAATCTGATTGACCGGCTTTTTGCTACAGTTTTACAGTAATATGGTGAAACTTGTGGAAAAGACTTTTAAGAATGTCTCTGCTTTTTTAAGAGTCTGATGCTACTGTCAAATAAATGATTGGTTTGTAAGCATTTTTTTTGTTGTTGTTGCTAGGAACCACACCAGTTCCTGGCAGAAACAAATAAAGCTATATAGAAATGTCCACTCTTCTTTAATGCTTGTCTGAGTCAATAATGTTTTTGTTTCATTTAACACAGTTATGCATTCTCATTATGGGAAATTTAGACAACACAGAAGAGTATAAAGAAAAGTAATAATTGCCTGTAATTCTGTTACCTGGGCTGGGGAGAAAGCACTTGAGTATTTTTGCATATTTCTTGCTAGCTTCTCTGCTACTTTGCTTGTTTTTACATAGTTTTATTGATTCTCAGTATAATTTGTGTCTTGCTTTGATTCTCAATCTGAAGACACAATTCCATGTCATTAAAAACTGTCAACCTTGATTAGTTTCATGATCCATGGAGTGCACCATGGTTCACAGTGCTTTTCCCTGTTGGTCAGTTTAGATTGCATCTCATGTTACAGCTGAGTGTCTTTGTGCTTTAGGAAAAATTCCTAGAGGTGAATCTCTGGGTCAAGGATGCGAACATTTTGTAGTTCTTGCTTCATGTTGCCTTTGCCAGTGGATATACTGATTTTTACTCCAAACATGGTGTGAGAAGAGCTGTCTGTGTTCCGAGAACATGCATGACTTACGTCTCTGTGGGTGTCTGAACTAAGCCCTCTGCCCTTCTGCCCCTGCTGAGCCGGGCCCGCTGACTTGGAGGTAGTCAGCAGCGGTTTTCCTTTCTCAGTTTCACACATATCTGACATGTTCCACAAACACTCATATGTAGATGTCCCAATAATTTTTTTGTATAGTTTTATTTGCACTGTGAAGTAGCCCCTTGCCAGAGTACATTTTCCAGTCTTAGTTAGAAAATACACGCAAATATCATTTTGGCCTTTCTGAGCTCCCCAAAGCCAGTAGGACCTCCTGAGCCAAAGGCAGTCCAACCCAAACTGGAAATGGGGTAAGGCTGAAACAACAGCTGGGTGGAGCTTTGCTTATTTCACGTGGTATTCTTGGATGTGTCCAATCAGATCTCGGTGTTTGGAGGGCAGCTGTGGGGAAAAAAAGAACAGATCGCCATCTTCAGGTGTTAATTTCTTGACCAGCATACCACATTGATTATTTCCCAACTGCTTTTTATTTCTGAGTGGCTTTTAAAGCTTATTTTGAATTCTCAAAGTGTACCTTTTTTAAATGAAGGAGAGTGAAGTGTGGTGTTAAAAAATAGAATATCCTCTCATTTTGGCCTTCATCGGACCATTCAACAAATACTTATTCAGTACATTTTGTAAGTGTATGTGGGATTCAGTAGTATAAATGATCTCGTCCCAGACTTCAAAGGGTTTATAATCAAGTTTTCAAAAGTCAATCTAACATAAAATGTGCTAAGAACTTTACAAAAATGCCTCATTCCTTACAGTAGCACTTCAAAGGGAAGTGCTATTGTCTTCATTTTACAAATGAAAAAACATGTAGGTGAGTGTCGCAGTGGACTTGGGAGCCTAAAAGCTCTCTGAACCGAAGTGGCATTAATTAGGTGCGTCATTTAGGAGGCAGATAAGAGAACCTAGACATAAATTATGAGAACTCATTTCAGATGTGGGCACAGGAATAAGGAAGGGAGTGGACACTGGAGTCAAAGGAACACTCGAGATTCAGCGTCTGAGTGGATATAGGTGTAAAAGCTGAGTCCATTTCTCAAGCATGAACAACCAGGGTAATGGTGCTGTTTGCAGAGAAAGGAGGCAGCTAGAAATGGCCATTAATCTTCTAGGGGGGTCAAGGGTAAGTTTGATAAGAAACTCATCTTTTTCCTGCAGTCCTAAGAAGTGCAAATTTTCCACGTCTTACATTTTTACTGTTACTCATCTTCACTCTGCATGTGTTCTAGTCGTGCCCATTGGACCATCCTCTCCTCCCCAAACCATGCTCAGCTGCATCTCAGCCTTTTCATGACAAATGTGGTTGTCGCCTGGAGTGCAGCCATGTCTTGCTGTCTCCGGTGTGGTCTGTTCATATGCCACATATCCCAAGGTGGTTGTTGCTGCCCTTTCTATCATAATTCCTAAACTCCCAAGGCCTCTGACAAAAATCTGCCCCTTTGCAGCCTATGCCAAGAGGTTCTATTTTCTGCTGCTACCAAGCCACCCGATCATTCCATTTGACTTGTTGAAGGCTTCACTTTCTGATTGATGGTGGTGGTATTCTCAGTATCCTCATTCTTATGGATGGTCCACCCTGGAGTACGGCCTATGAGATGGTTGGTTATCTCACCTGTACTATCTTCCACTGAAACTCCCTGAAGCCATTTCACCTCTTGTCTTCGCTGCTTTGACTGCTCCATCATCACAGCCTTGAACGTATCCTTGGGCCCCTCCCTCTCGGTCAGTTATCCCTTAACTTGGTTCTGCGTGGATCTTTAGCTCATTCTCACCAATTATGTATGTCACCCCCTCCAGAAGACCCAGTGCCAGTACCTCGGCATGATTGCTCCACCTTTGCTCACCTTCACCCTTGCTTGTGTGTTCCAATTTCAGAAGATGCAGGCCTTTGACCCTTCCCTTCCTGTCATCTTCAGGATCCTTTTCCATCAGACTTTTTATGTCTTTCATCTGCACAGCTTTTGCCTTATGAAAGTGTTAATGTGTCAAGTGTTTGACATATGTATGTGCCAGGCATTGTATCAGGTACTTGGAACACAAGATGGATAGGTCCCGGCTAGCACCAAAGTTGTACTCCAGTAGTAGCGTATGCAAAACAGTGAGTGCATTAAAGTGTAACAGCGGAGGTGCTACAGCAGCACATCGATGAGACTGATTCTATGGAAGTAACATCCAGGGAGCAGGGGGGTTGATTGGAAGTGTCCAGTAGGGGACTGAAATGTTCGCAATGGCTGGACATTTGTTCGGGATTATTAAAAGAAGTATGTAAGAAACAAAGGGCCTTGTAAAGCAGTGAGAAGGCAAGGAAGAGTTCTCAGTTATTACAGTAACAAGCGTTTGTCGAGTTTGGTGTCATTGTCTCCATGTCACAAATGTGGAAACATTCTGAGGGTAAGTTACTTGCCTAAGGTCTTGCAGCTTGTAAGTGGGGAGCCACACTTCAAACCCAGCTTTTAACCACAAGAGAAGCCTTTCTTGTATTCTAAGAAGGAGGTGTTTCCTAAGTATCCTTATCACATCATTCGGTTTATATCTTATGTGACACGTATTACAGCCTGTACCTATTCTATGTATTAGTTCATCGTGTACTGTCTGTTTCCCTTACTAGATTGTAAGCTCCATGAGGGCAGGGGTGATACCTTATTTCACTTGCATCCCAGAGCCTGACATGGTGTGGTGCATAGTAGGTGCTCAATAAATATTTGTGAATGAAAAACTGGTGGCTAACTGTTGACTTATGGTGTCTGTGGAAATCACTTAACACCTTTGTAGCAGGTGTTCACCCAGAGAGGAAAACGAGGAATATGTGTTTGGGGCAGATGATAGTGGCGAAAGGTGCTGGGGAGTTGGGAGGAATTCAGTGCACAGACCGAGAGTCCAAGATCTGGGGCAAGGGCTAGGAATGGGGGATTGGTAGGGTGTGCGCACAGTGTGGGTAATGTGTGAGCAGGTGTTGTATTAAACCTGAAAGCCTCGGTGACCCCTTTTTAGATCAGCCTGCATATGGATAAGGCTGGGGAAATGCTGCACGTAATCTGCGCCATATGCTGAGGATCACTCGTCTCGGTCAGGTACATTACACCAAGTTACACAATACAGTTGTGCGTGAAAACATTCTAATTTATCATCAGTCTCAAGGCTAACGACCTGACCCAAGTCATTACTGGGCCCAGTACTTTGGAACTGTGTAACCTGAAGTCTGGAAGTCATGGCCACATACCGTTAGATGAGCTATAGGCTTGTCTTACAACACACAGGTGGTCCCCAAACCATGAAAGGGCAGCAATCCATCCAGAGAAGTCAGAAAGAAGCTGGAAAATGAACACAACGAAGACAACAGGAGCAATCGAGATAGAAGGGTGAAGTATTTTGGCAAGAGTGAAGTTAAAATGCTTTTGATATAAAAGTTTTAAGACTTCAGAAACACCATTTGATTGAATCTACCTGATTAAGTCCTTCTATAAACAAACTATGACCCATTTTTTGGTGTGCATGCACCATTCTCCGAAGTATTGTGGTACCGGGTCATTGCACGGCGTGGTCAGAGGATGCTCATCTTCCATCTCACTGCTCCAGAGATCCACTTAATTGTCCTCACATAGAGGATGTATCAGATATTAAAATTAAACTGATGCAAACAGGTGACTACACTTGATCTTCGCCAAATGGCTGAGAAGCAGTGGCCCATTGCTTTCAGTCCCATTGATTATAAGATGTAGCCCATTAAAATATAGGAGAGGAGTGAATCTGCATCTTAGAATTTAAGAATTGGCCCTGGCTGGTGTGGCTCAGTGGATCGAGTGCCGGCCTGTGAGCCACAGATCGCTGCTTCAATTCCCAGTCAGGGCACATGCCTGGGTTGTGGGCCAGGTCCCCCGTGGGGAGCATGCAAGAGGCAACCACGCATTAATGTTTCTCCTCTTTCTCCTTCCCTTCCCCTCTCTAAAAAGAAATGAATAGAATTTATTTTAAGAATGAAAAAAGAATTGGGGTCATCGAGATCTTTCTTTGGCTTCCCCACCCAGGCCATAGCTAGTAATTCCCTCAAGGACGAGCTCAGTGGGATGACGAAGGTCGCCTCCAGGTTGCAGTGGGGTGAGGACTGCGTGATGGAGTGCGCAGATGCGAACAACTCCAGAACTGACTGATGAAGGGTGAGGCTGTAGCGAGGGAACGGCTGACAACTTTTAAGGACGAGAACATCTTGAGCCTCATGTTTAAATGCTAATTGGGTGGTGGGATGGAGTCAGTGGGAGAGGTGGAAACACAGGGCGTGTGGGAGGGGTTGGCCACGCTCGTCAGCACACTTACCATTCCTGAGCGGGAGGGAGAGGCTGAGGTGCGTGTTGGAGGCAGATGAAGCGATGGGTGTGGACACGGGGGTGTGTGTGTCGTTTGGGTGGCGAGTGGAAAGTTCTCGTCTAATGGTTCAGCTTTCGTGTCTGAGAATGAAGTGACACGAACTGAGTGATGTGGCCAGTTCCAGAAGTGGGGAGGTGTGAGGATGGAGGTACAACGGCAGCGGGGTTAGTTGGAAGTAGTGGCCCCAGAGGATGGGGAGGAAGATGGACAAGCGAAGGACAGCAGTGAGTTGGACACCGTGGCCTTACGGCAGCATCCGTTTATCTGGGGGACTTCAGCACTGCTCAGTGTTAAAAGCCTTTTTATTCAGGGTTGGGATTTTGTCAGGCGGGCGAACAGAAGAATGACAGGAATAACATCTTGGGGATGCTGGCAAGTAGCTGACATGATGGAATCACACTCCTGAAAGTGTTCTGGCTGGAGTGAAAATGCACGCATAATTGTCGCGTTCTGTGCATTTGACTTTTACTAACTTGAAAATCTGCATTTGTTACACTCCCTTCCATTTCTTGGTTTTTCTGACTTGTCAGGAGCTCCTTTTCTCTCGTTTCTCCCTGGAAATGTAAACGTAGGTGTCACCTTGCGTGGCTGGCTGCCTTTCCCAGCCTCTTGACCCCCAGTTCGTGGTACACACAGCCAGTGCCCCCAAACACCCAGGAAGGCTAGGGGGCTTGTTGCTGTTTCTGTTAACCATACTATTGCAAATGTCTAGAAGAGTTTTTAAGGTTTTATTTATTTATTTTTAGAGAGAGGGGAAGGGAGGGAGAAAAAGGGAGAGAAACATCAATATGTGGTTGCCTCTCATGGCCCTCCAACCGGGGACCTGGCCCGCCACCCCGGCGTGTGCCCTGACTGGGAATTGAACCAGTAGCCCTTCGGTTCGCAGGCCTGTCCTCAATCCACTGAACCACACCAGCCAGGGGCCTTCTCTGGTTTTGATGGAGCATTTTGTGTTATTTCACATTTTATTCTCAGCATATCAGTTGTGCTTTTTAAAAATGTTTTTAGTGGTTGCTCTTGAGTTTACAATCCTTGTCTTCTTTCAGATAACACTGTTGCATCTTACAACAGAATATTCCCGACTCCTCCTTCCTTCTCTCACGGTATTGCAGCTGTTCGTTTAACTTCTCCATAGCTGTAATCACTGAATATTGTGTTGCTGCTACAATTCTGAGCAAACTGTTCAGATAAAAACAAAATACCTTCGTGTCCTCCTCCTCTAACGCTGTTCCTTTATGCAGACCCACATTTCTGAGCTACACAGCATTTTCCTTTCTTTCTGCAGATTTTATTTCTTGCTGGGCAGGTCTGTTTTTCATTAATTCCCCTTCACTTTCTGTGTTGAGAAAGTTTTTGTCTCTTACTCACTTTTGAAGGATAACTGCTAGATACATAATTTTAGTTGGTGGTTTGTTTTTTTAATAACACTTGTACTCTCTTTTTGCTTTACATAGTTTCTGAAGAAAAGTGCAGTGTAATACTTATCTTGCTTTTATAGACAAGGTGTTTTCTATCTTTGGTTTCTCCCTAGATTTTCTAAATTTGACTATTTTTATGCCTGGGTGTGCATATTTTTACTATTTCTCCTGTTCGGTGTTCTCAGAGCTTCCCAAATATGTGATTTGGTATCTGTCATTAATTTTGGGAAATTCGGGACTTCCGCCAAGATGGAAGTGTAGGTGGAAGCACTTCGCCTCCTCACACAACCAAGTTTAAAAACAACAAAGTTTTAGCAATGAAAATGCAGCCAAACCACAGAAAATTGAACTACATGGAAGCCTGACAACAACGGACCCTTCAGCCAAACTGGTAAGAGGGGCAGAACCAGTAGCAGAGCAGGGGTCGGGCAGGAAATATCCACCGGACCCACCTGGGCGCACGATCCAGGGGCGCCAGCAGCTGTGGGCAGATTCCGGGTGTGGAGAAGTGGGCGGACCCACTGAGGGCAGACCGTGGTCACACATTCGCACGCAGATAAACTGGTGAAGGAGCTAGCGGCAGTAAGACGGACCACGCAGGCCCCAGCGGCGGAAAGCCACAGAGAGAACCGCCATTGTCCCTCTCTGACCCCGCCCCGACATACAGTGTCACAAACCAGCGACCTGGGTGGCCCTGCCCTGGTGAACAATTAAGGCTCTGCTCCTCATACGTAACAGGCATGAACAGATCAAAACATGGCTCAAGAACAACTAAAAGCCCCAGAGCCGATAAATCTAAGCGACCAAGAAATAGTCAAACTTTCAGATGCACAGTTCAAAACACTGGTGATCAGTATGCTCACAGATCTGGTTGATTTTAATCACAAATTAGAGGAACATATGAAGGCTAAACTAATTGAAATGAAGGGAAATGGGAAACCAATAGTGATGGAAAGGAAACTGGGACTCAAATCAAAGGAGTGGACCAGAAGGAGGAAAAAAATGACCAAACAGAAAAGGATGAAGAAACAAGAATTCAAAAAAATGAGGAGAGGCCTAGGAAACTTTAGGACATCTTTAAATGTTCCAACATCCGAATTATAGGGGTACCAGAAGGGGAAGAGGAACAGCCACCAGTGGAAAACTTATTGGAACAAATAATAAAGGAGAACTTCCCCAATCTGGCAAAGGAAATAGACTTCCAGGAAATCCAGGAAGCTCAGAGAGTCCCAAAGAAGTTGGACCCAAGAAGGAACACAATAAGGCACATCATCATTATATTGGCCAAGATTAAAATGAAGGCGAGAATCCTAGAAGCAACGAGAGATAAGGGGACAGTCACCTACAAAGGAGTTCCCATCAGACTCAGTGGATTTCTCAAAAGAGACCTTACAGGCAAGAAGGGGCTGGAAAGAAGTATTCCAAGTCATGAAATCCAAAGATCTACATCCAAGATTGCTCTATCCAGCAAAGCTTTCATTTAGAATGGAAGGACAGATAAAATGCTTCTCAGATAAGACCAAATTCAAGGAGTTCATCATCACCAAGCCCTTATTATATGAAATGTTAAAGGGACTTACCTAAGAAAAAGAAGATAAAAAAGATGAACAGTGAAAGGACAGCAAACTCACAGTTATTAAGAACCACACCTAAAACAAAAGCAAACTAAGAGGACAGCTAGATCAGGAGCAGAACCATAGAAATGAAGATCTCATGGAGGGTTAGCAACAGGGGAGTGGGAGGAGGAGACGGTGGGGGAGAAGGTACAGAAAATAAGTAGCATAGATGGTAGGTAGAAAATAGATAGGGGGAGGGCAAGAATAGTAGGGGAAATATAGACTCTAAAGAACTTGAGACATGTGGTCATAAACTAAAAGGGGGGGAATGGTGGGGGATGGGGTGTGCAGGGTGGAGGGGAATGAAGGGGGAAATAGAACAACTGTAATGGCATAATTAATAAAGTATATTTAAAAAATTTTGGGAAATTCTCTGTGATTGTTATTTCAGATATTTTGTGCCTTCTCTTTCTCTGAAAGAGAAGAGAAGCCCTCTGGTGCCTTCGTTATGAGTATGTAATACCTTTTGTATTACAACTTGTATTACCTTTCATATCCACAGTTCTTGGATATTCTGTCTTGTGGGTTTTTTTGTTTATTGTTTGTTTTTTCTTTCTTTTTCTCTTTGCATTTTAGTTTTGGAGATTTTTTGTTGAACATTTCTACAAGTTCACTGATTCTGTCTTCAGCCATGTCTTGTCTATTGATGAGCCCATAAAAGGCATTGTTCACTTTTGTGACAGTGTTTTTGATTTCTAGCATTTCTTTTAGAGTTTTTTATATTTCTCTTTATATTGCCCACCTGTTCTTGTATATTGTCCACTTTTTACCATTAGAGCCCTTACCTAATTGATCATAGTTGTTTTAAGTCTCAGCCTGAAAATTTCACCATCTCTGCTGTATGTGAGTTTGGTTCTGACACTTACTCATCTCCTCAAACTGTGTTTTTTGTGTTTTAGTTGCCTTGTAATTTTTTGTTGAAAGCCAGACATCATGTACTAGGCAAAGGGAACCCAGCAGTGGTTCCTTCCAAGGTTTCTGCCTGTTCATCTCTCCAGTGTCGGTTGCAGTGGTTTGCACTGTGCTTTCAGTTACCTGCTGGATCTAAGAAGAGTTGTTGGTTTTTCATTTTGTTTAGTGTTTCCAAATAGAGTGGAAATGACAGCTTCTCAGCTCCTTTCGTGCTGGACTGGACTTGCCCTAACTCTTTTTTTTTTTAAGAGTTTATTTATTTTTAAAGAGAAGGGAAGGGAAGGGAAGGGAAGGAGAGAGGGAGAGAAACATCAGTGCATGGTTGCCTCTCACATGCCTTCTACTGGGGACATGGCCTGCAATCCAGGCATGT